GCCTGTCCAGCATTACCCAGGTCCCTCCCTCCACTGAGAAGCTGGCTGAGGTTTGAGCTTCCCACCCATCACTTGTCTCTTGCTACTCAAAACCTCGGCCTTGCAAAGAGAGGCACACAGTAGAGTTCTACATTGAGCATGCTCAACTACTGCCCACATCTGGAGGGCCCATGCTGTGGACCAAGGTTGCTTTGTCCTTTGGGCTTTCTTACGCCACAGGATGGCCCCCTGTCCGAACAGGCCTTTCTAACCTGGCTCATGTCCCTCTGCTGGCCCCTAGCCACCCTCACATGTCCCAGAGGCCTGTGGGGGCCACTTGGAGACTCATTCCTTCCTCCCAGACAGGCCTGGTCCTCAGAATTTGAACAGACCCCCCAGGACTGCAGTAAATCTGGCTAATGATTTATCACATGCATTCAAGTCTCATTTATTTATTATCCACCACCTACAACAAATGGGCAGGCCCAAGGTGGTTCCACTATCCCTAACAGACCCGTCTGCCCCATCTCCAGCCCTCTAAGCCCCAGTACATTCCCACTTTTTCCTCTGTTCTCCATTCTTACGCCTTGAGTGGGTTGAGGTTTTAAATTTTTTCCCTGCAGCTACAAATCAGGAAACCGGGTCATAAAACAACCTTGGGTAAGTAGGTGGGATGGAACCAGCAGCCTTGGAGCTACTGCTGGGGAACAGAAAATTTCGCTCTTCCTCCCTCCCTCCCTCCCTCCCTCCCACCCACTCTTTTCCTCAGGATCCCCCTGGGCTCCAGCAGCTCTGGCCTACATTGTGTCCATGTCCCTGATGGGTGACCCAGCCCTGGGGCCTGGGGAGGCTCTGAGCCTAGTGACCCTTCACTGAGGCTGCCCAAAGGACAGTAGTTGCCATGGTGATTGTCATTTCCCTTTAGTGGACCTATCTAAGGTGGGTCTAACTGCTCAAAAGAGGAGGGCAAGGAAGGAATAAAAGTTCCCCTGAGGGCTGGAGCTCAGTGGCAGAGTGCTTACACGCATGAGGCCTGGAGTTCTGTCCCTAGCACGTGAAATCAAGTAAAGGTGGGGTGTGATTCTGTGCCTGGGTCCTCAGCCTCGAAGACTGCAGACAGGACTAGAAATCAAGCCACTGTCCTTGCCTTAGCACACCACCATTGTCTTGCTGTCCTGCACCGGGATAACATCCTCCAAAATGGGTTCTTGGCAAAGGACATCCACCATTGGCCTGGTCACTGCTGCAGCATCACTGTAAGTGGGCTCTGCTGTGGGGTCCTAAGCACCACTTATCTCTCTGAATCTCATTTGCTTCAATAAAAGGGATAGAACAATCAGTATACAAGAAAGAAGTCTGGCCAGGCATGGTGGCAAACACCTGTAATCCTACCACTTGGGAGGCTGAGGAGGATCACTGTGAGTTCGAGGCCAACCTCAACTACATAATAAGACCCTGCTCAGAATGAAAGAGGAAGTCTGTTTAGAGGAGGTACTCAGCTGCTGAGCACCGCCTGCAGCACAGGAGTCTGTGGTGAAGGTGGGCCCAGACCCACACTGCTGTCAAGGCCTTTGACAGCTGCTGGCTTCACTCTGGAGAGGGTATGAGGGCCTTATCACCCCCCTGTACACAAGAGGTCATGGCTATGTGAGTGGCTTGGTGTTGGTGAGCCCTGCTGCTGTGCCAAGAAAAGTCCTGGGGCTCTGGATGTGATGGCTGGGGCCCTAGGCCCAGTGCTGGAATGTATGGCCTGGAGCTCCTGCCAAGCCGAGCCTGGCCAGCTCCCTCTGTGCTGTGGCCTGGTAAGACAGGCTTCCATGACACTGGTGCTTTGGATGCACAGGGCTCCCTCACTCTTTCCTGCCTGCCTTTCCAGGTGCAGCAAGAGAGGCCTCGGCCAGCAGCAGAGGAGAGGCAGGTGGGGGGCAGGAGGTACTTGGGGCCAGGAGGAACCCTGTGTGTGAGGGGTGCGCTCCCCTGACAGCCCAAGCCATAGGCTGCCTCCTTGGCCACTTCTTCTCCTCCCCTACGTACAAAGGTCACCTCTGCCCTGCCAATCAGCCTCTTTTCTGCCCCCTTCCCTCTCGATGATGCTGCCCATGACAGCCCTGCTGCTTGCCTTTCCCCCACCTCCATGTCCTTTCCCAGTGCTCTTGAAAAATAATCATAATCACAATAATTAATAACAACAGAGCCCATGGCAGGCTGAAGCTGCTCTTAAAGAGGTAGCGCCCTATTTCTTCCTGGCAGAGCCAGTGGGACCTTGGCAGGCAGCTCCGAGAGGCAGCTGTGATGCTACCATGCCTTTGTTCCTGCATCCCTCCCTCCATCTGGGGTTGGAGGATGGTGTTGGGGCGAGTATTTTTTGCCTGTGTCCATCAGGCACTGGGCCTCTTATATTTTAATTGAACTGTCTTTTCTTAGAGATAGATGTTTCACCACATCCAGCTGCTCGGGTGTATTGGGAAACCTGCCTATAATCCAGCTTGGCTAAATTAAAAGACACAGCAGCTGGACTGATTAAACAGGGAGGGGGAGATGAGGATGAAGCAGGCAAGGAGAGGACACTACTAATGGCACACCCACCCACCCCCCTCTCTTTTTAAATAATGTTTCTGGTAATGCATTTTGGAGAATGTGAAAAAAAATAAAAAATAAAGCCGTAGAAATGTTAATGATATCCACAGGACACTCAGCAGGAAATGAGAGTGATCTGGGACTAATAAAAGCAGAAATGTAATTTGTGCAGATATACGAGGGAGGCGCAGCCTTCAGAACAGTCCTGGGTTGTCCTGGGTTGGGCTCATAAACACACGCCTGGGGAGGGCAGGGCATGAGTGGTGCTGCACCCTTAGCCTTGGAGCTGGACTTGCTTGGAAGGGGCACAGCCAGGTCCTGAGCAGAGGTAGCCTTAACCTGTGCTCGGGCAGCCCACCGGGCTGGCTAGTCCCCTCTGGGGCCAGGGTTGCCCAGCTGGCCAGGAGCCACTGCCAGCTCCTCTAGGTGGGCACGTCCTGAAATGTTTTTTCTGAGCCACCAGGGCCCTGATTGAAGTGGGTCAGAAGGGCGGGTGGGCCACTTCTCGCTCTTCCTTGGGGATGCCTGAGGTGGATCTGGAGAGGAGGGCATGAGGCGCCTACAAGCTTGGTGGGGTGGAGGCCAAAGACACCCTGCTCTGAGGCTGGGTCCAGCAGGCTGACTCCCCAGGAAAGGAGAGGTGCTTTGGGTGGAGACTCTTGGGCAAGTGAGCCTGGGGCTGTACTGGCAAGCTCCTGGCCTGCCTGGCTGCCTGGTTAGGTATATAGAGGTCTTCCCTCTGCCTGCCCCTTCCTGGGGTCAGTCCCAGACACAGAATGAAGAAGGCATCTTTGGGGATTCAGGCCAAAGAGGGGTAGGAGCTGAACCTCCCTTCTGGGTCATTTCCCTTCATCCCGACTCTGCACCTTTCCTCTTTCTCATTCCTCTCCCTTTTCTCACATCTGCATAATTCATTTCTCCTCCTATCCCTCTCCCTTTCATTTCTTCCCAACCCCTCAAAATATCCTGGAACCTCTGTGGTTGGAGGCAGGCCACCCCTCCCTCTTCTAGTGCTTGGGAATGAGAACTGGAAAGTCCCCCCACCGCACCCTAGAGCTTGGGTCACACAGGCCAAGAAAAGCCCCTTCTTGCCTCTTTTGGTTGTTGGGTCCAATCCTGAGCCCTTCAAACCTGAGGGCTGATGGCCAGTCCCTCACCATGATTCTTCTACAGGCTAGGCTTTCCTCTTTCTTTGTCCCTCCCTTAAGGATCATCTGGGGTGATCAAGATGGCCAGATAGTTTGAGAAACCTTTAACCTTTAACCTAGGCACCCAAGTCTGGCCTAGGTTGTGAACTGTCCAAGGCTCTCACCCTGCCCAGGGTCATTTTCAGAGCCAGGATCCTGCTTCAGAGTAGATTAGATCCTGCCTGGACCCCATTCTCTAAAATCATAACCAGGGGCTGGGGATTTAGCTCAGTGGTTTCGCTGACTGTGCAAGCGCAAGGACCCGAGTTTGATCCCCGGTACCACATAAATAAATAAATAAATAAAATAAAATCATAACCAGATGGGCTCTTGAGTGCTACCTGCCCTGGCCCTGACCTGGGGAGGACTGGAGGGACCCTGCCAGGAGGGACAGGGCTGCATCACACCTGCATCACACTAGCCTGGTGTTGTCCCGATGGCCACAAGACTGTCTGTCCCCATTAGTATGCACTCTCTCACTCTGGTCACGCAATCTGTTTATGCACCTATGATATCAAGAACAGGAGGCAGGTGCTGCCATCCTGTATTCCTGGGAATCAGAGAAGAGGACGTTTTATGTCTACAGTGGCTCTGCAGCCCCCAGTCAACGTCTGCTGGAAGGAACAGACAGATTCCAGATGGCCTGGCGGTGATAGGGGAGATGTGTGCATGAGAGCCTCTGTGTGTGTGTGTGTCTGTCTGTCTGTCTGCCTGCCTGCCTGCCTGCCTGCCTACAGCCAGCCTTAGCTAGTGTCCTCTCCCAGGCAGGGCAGGGGCAGATCCTCAAGGGCCCCCAGCACGGCTGGGTCATGCCTGAGCACAGCCACACAGGGACTAAGATTACAGGATCCAGCCAGCCCCAGGAGACAGCAGAGCCGGAACTGCTCTGTGAAATGCTTTTGAGTTGTCTGGAAGGACTGGGAGTGGTGGATGGGGGTGGAGGAGAAGAGTTGGCCAGCAGGAGGGTGGAATGGCCACTCCTGGTGGCCTGGCTCTGAGCAGCTTGTTTGCACCTCCCACCCTGTGGTGGCCGTCCTTGGCAAAGCTCAGCTGCAAGTGCTGCGGTGGCAGGAATTATGACACAGAAGTTGTCAATATGTGCACAACTGCGGGGGAGGCTCTGGCCTGAGGGCTGTGTGTGGGGAGTGGACAGGGTAGGAGGTGGCTGGGAGGGATACTGGTTGAGGCAAAAGGACAAGGACATGGCCCATCTGAATTGCTCTCCCTCTGCTCCCCCCTCTCCTTTTCTTTTCACAGATAACCAGCCCGAGTCATGCAGTCTTTTAGAGAAAGGTGTGGTTTCCATGGCAAACAACAGAACTACCCGCAGACCTCACAGGAAACATCGCGCCTGGAGAATTACAGGCAGCCGAGTCAGGCTGGGCTGAGCTGTGACCGGCAGCGGCTGCTTGCAAAGGACTATTATAACCCGCAGCATTACCCAGGCTATGAGGGTGGCACCAGCACACCCTCTGGCACAGGGGCTGTAGTGGCCACCGAGAAGTACCACCGAGGCAGCAAGGCCCTGCCCTCACAGCAGCCCCTGCAGGGGAGGTCAGCTTTCCCTGGCTATGGCAGTGTCCAGGACAGCAGCCCTTACCCGGGACGGTACTCTGGCGAGGAGAGCCTGCAGGCCTGGGGTGCCCCACAGCCACCACCTCCTCAGCCACAGCCCCTGCCAGGGGGTGTGGGCAAGTATGACGAGAACTTGATGAAAAAGACCGCGGTGCCCCCTGGCAGGCAGTACGCAGAGCAGGGCACCCAGCTTCCCTTCCGGACTCACTCCCTGCATGTCCAGCAGCCACCGCCACCGCCACCCCAGCAGCTGCCACAGCCCCAGCAGCCCCTGGTGTATCCCAAACTTCAAAGGCAGAAACTACAGAATGACATTGCCTCACCCTTGCCTTTTCCCCAGGGTGGCCACTTCCCCCAGCACTCCCAGTCCTTTCCTGCCTCTTCTACTTACTCTTCCTCTGTCCAGGGTGGCACACAGGGGGCCCACTCTTACAAGAGTTGCACAGCACCATCTACCCAGCCCCATGACAGGCCGCTCACCGCCAATGCCAGCCTGGCCCCAGGGCAGCGGGTCCCAAACCTTCATGCCTATCAGTCAGGCCGCCTTGGTTATGACCAGCAACAGCAACAGCAGCAACAACAGCAGCAGCAGCAAACTCTTCAGAGCCGGCACCATGCCCAGGAAACCCTCCATTACCAAAACCTCGCTAAATACCAACACTATGGGCAGCAAGGCCAGGGCTACTGCCAGCCAGATGCAGCTGTCAGAACGCCGGAGCAGTACTACCAAACCTTCAGTCCTAGCTCCAGCCACTCCCCTGCCCGCTCTGTGGGACGCTCACCATCTTACAGCTCCACTCCATCGCCCCTGATGCCCAACCTGGAGAGCTTCCCGTACAGCCAGCAGCCGCTCAGCACTGGAGCCTTTCCCACAGGGGTCACTGACCACAGTCACTTCATGCCCCTGCTCAACCCCTCCCCAACAGATGCTGCCAGCTCTGTGGACACCCAGGCCAGCAACTGCAAGCCCATGCAGAAAGACAAGATCCCTGAAAACCTACTGTCAGACCTCAGCCTTCAGAGCCTCACGGCTCTGACCTCACAGGTAGAGAACATCTCTAACACGGTGCAGCAGCTTCTGCTGTCCAAGGCGGCTGTACCACAGAAGAAAGGGGTCAAGAACCTCGTGTCTCGGACCCCTGAGCAGCACAAGAGCCAGCACTGCAGCCCTGAGGGCAGTGGCTACTCAGCCGAGCCGGCAGGCACACCACTGTCTGAGCCACTGAGCAGCACCCCACAGTCCACCCATGCTGAGCCACAGGAGGCCGACTACCTGAGTGGCTCTGAGGACCCTCTGGAGAGAAGCTTCCTCTACTGCAGCCAGCCCCGAGGCAGCCCTGCCAGGGTCAACAGTAACTCAAAGGCCAAGCCTGAGTCTGTGTCCACCTGTTCTGTGACCTCACCCGATGACATGTCCACCAAATCTGATGATTCCTTCCAGAGCTTGCACAGTACTCTGCCACTGGACAGCTTCTCCAAGTTCGTGACAGGTGAGCGGGACTGCCCACGGCTGCTGCTCAGTGCCCTGGCACAGGAGGACCTGGCCTCTGAGATCTTGGGGCTGCAGGAAGCCATTGGCGAGAAGGCTGACAAAGCCTGGGCTGAGGCACCCAGCTTGGCCAAGGACCCCAGCAAGGCTCCTTTCTCACTGGAGAACCACAGCACCTGCCTGGACTCTGTAGCCAAGAATGCATGGCCACGCCCTGGGGAGACGGAGAACCTGTCTGATTCCTTGCAGCTGGACAAGGGTAGCAACACCAAAGACTTCAGCCCAGGGCTCTTTGAAGACCCTTCTGTGGCCTTTGCCAGCCCTGATCTCAAGAAGTCAACTGCCCCCCTCTCCTTTGGCACCAAGCCCACCCTTGGGGCTCCCACTCCAGACCCCACAACAACAGCTTTTGACTGCTTTCCAGATACAACTACTGCCAGCTCAGCAGACAGTGCCAACCCCTTTGCATGGCCAGAGGAGAACCTGGGCGATGCTTGTCCTCGGTGGGGACTGCACCCTGGTGAGCTTGCCAAAGGCCTGGAGCAGGGTGGAAAGGCCTCAGATGGTGTGGGCAAAGGGGACAGCCACGAGGCTTCGGCCTGCCTGGGCTTCCAGGAAGAGGACCCCCCTCGGGAAAAGGCAGTTGCACTGCCCAGGGACTTCAAGCAGGAGGAGGCGGGTGGGGTGAAGGAGGAGGTGGGTGGGATGTTACAGTGCCCCAATGATGTGAGTAAGGCTGACCGGTGGCTGGAGGACAGCCGGCACTGCTGCTCTGCTGCAGATTTTGGGGACCTGCCACTGCTGCCGCCCCCAGGCAGAAAGGAGGACCTGGAGGCTGAGGAGGAGTACTCCTCCCTGTGTGAGCTACTGGGCAGCCCAGAGCAGAGGCCCAGCATGCAGGACCCACTGTCGCCGAAGGCCCCCCTCATCTGCACCAAGGAGGAAGTAGAAGAAGTATTGGACTCCAAGGCCAGCTGGGGTTCCCCATGCCACCTCTCTGGGGAGTCTGTCATCTTGCTAGGCCCCACTGTGGGTGCTGAGTCGAAGGTCCAGAGCTGGTTTGAGTCTTCCCTGTCCCACATGAAGCCAGGGGAAGAGGGTTCTGAGGGAGAGCGGGCTCCAGGCGATTCCACCACCTCAGAAGCTTCCGTGGCCCAGAAGCCAAACAAGCCAGCAGTGCCTGAGGCACCCATTGCTAAGAAAGAGCCTGTGCCCCGGGGCAAAAGTTTACGGAGCCGTCGGGTGCACCGGGGACTGCCTGAGGCTGAGGACTCCCCATGCAGGGCACCAGTGCTGCCCAAAGACCTTTTGCTCCCTGAATCCTGCACAGGGCCTCCCCAAGGACAGCTGGAAGGAGCTGGGGCCCCAGGCCGGGGCACCTCAGAAGGGATCCCCAGGATGTGTACACGCTCCCTCACAGCCCTGAGTGAACCCCGTACACCTGGACCCCCAGGCCTGACCACTACGCCTGCACACCCTGACAAACTGGGGGGCAAGCAGCGAGCTGCCTTCAAGTCAGGCAAGAGGGTAGGGAAACCTTCACCCAAGGCCGCATCCAGCCCCAGCAACCCAGCTGCCCTGCCGGTGGCCTCAGACAGCAGCCCTATGGGCTCCAAAACCAAGGAGACAGACTCGCCCAGTACTCCTAGCAAGGACCAGCGCTCCATGATCCTCCGGTCCCGCACGAAGCCCCAGGAGGTTTTCTACTCCAAGCGGCGGCGGCCTGCAGAGAGTCGGCTCCCAAACTGCCGCACCACCAAGAAGCTCCTTGCCAACAGCCACCTGCCCACCACGTTCAAGGTCTCCAGTAGCCCCCAGAAGGAGGGCAGGGTGAGCCAGCGAGCAAGGGTCCCCAAGCCCTGCACTGGGGGCAAGCTTTCTGATCAGCCTCTCCACACACTCAAAAGGAAGTCTGCCTTCATGGCACCAGTCCCCACCAAGAAGCGGAACCTGGTTTTACGGAGTAGCAGCAGCACTACCACCACCAGTAGCAATGGGGGAGATGGGAAGGAGGAGGGGGCCGAGGGCTCCTCTGCCCTCTTCAGGAGGGTGTCTTCTCCCAAAAAGACCAAGCCCAAGGGCAACAGCGAGCCCACCATGAAACCCTCACCCCCCGAGAGCCCCGATACCTGCATCAAGCTCACCTCACGGGCAGCCTTCCAGGGGGCCATGAAGACCAAGGTGCTCCCACCCCGGAAGGGTCGGGGCCTCAAGCTGGAGGCCATCGTGCAGAAGATCACCTCACCTGGCCTCAAGAAGTTCACATGCAAAGTGCCAGGGGCCCCTCCAGGGACACCTCTGAGCCCAGCCCTCCCTGAGAAGGATCGAGGTGGCCTCAAGAGTGCTGGGGGCAGCCCAGCAAGGGCAGAAGAAGGTCTGATAAGCATGGGTACTGGGCAGAAGCTCCCAGCAGCTTTGGGAGCTGACCCATTATGCAGAAATCCAGCCAGCAGGTCCTTAAAAGGCAAACTTGTGAACAGTAAGAAACTGTCCTCTGCTGACTGTTTCAAAACTGAGGCCTTCACCTCCCCGGAGGCCCTACAGCCTGGGGCAACTGCCCTGGCGCCTAAGAAGAGGAGCCGGAAAGGCAGGGCTGGAGGCCTCGGACTCCCCAAAGGCCCCCTGGAGAAGCGGCCCTACCTTGGTCCAACTCTGCTCCTCAGTCCCAGAGACAGGGCCAGCAGCACACAGGGGGCTGGCGAGGACAACTCTGGTGGAGGCAAGAAGCCAAAGACAGAGGAGCTGGGCCTGGCTTCCCAGCCCTCTGAGGGCCGGTCCTGCCAGCCCCAGACAAGGGCACAGAAGCAGCCAGGCCATGCCAACTACAGCAGCTATTCCAAGCGGAAGCGCCTCACCCGGGGCCGGGCCAAAAACACCAATACTTCACCCTGTAAGGGGCGTGCCAAGCGGAGGCGGCAGCAGCAGGTGCTCCCCCTGGATCCTGCAGAGCCTGAAATCCGCCTCAAGTACATTTCCTCTTGCAAGCGACTGAGGGCAGACAGCCGGACCCCTGCCTTCTCGCCCTTTGTGCGGGTGGAGAAGCGAGATGCATTCACCACTGTATGCACTGTTGTTAACTCCCCGGGGGATGAGCCCAAGCCCCACAGGAAGCCTTCATCCTCCACCTCCTCTTCCTCATCTTCATCCTCCTTCTTCTTGGATGTGGCTGGGGCTTCCCTGACCACACTCCCTGGAGGTTCCATCCTGCAGTCACGGCCCTCCCTGCCTCTCTCCTCTATGATGCACCTGGGGCCTGTGGTTTCCAAGGCCCTGAGTACCTCTTGCCTCGTTTGCTGCCTCTGCCAAAACCCAGCCAACTTCAAGGACCTCGGAGACCTCTGTGGACCCTACTACCCTGAACACTGCCTCCCCAAAAAGAAGCCAAAACTCAAGGAGAAGGTGCGTCCAGAAGGCACCTGTGAGGAGGCCCCGTTGCCCCTCGAGAGAACACTCAAGGGCCTTGAGTGTGTGGCTGCCACCCCTGCTGCTGCCGCCACTGGTTCCGGGAAACCCCCCAGACTTGATGCCCCAGCTGACCCAGCCAAGCAGGGCTCACTGCGCACCAGTGCCCGTGGCCTGTCCCGGCGGCTGCAGAGTTGCTACTGTTGTGATGGCCGGGGTGACGGGGGTGACGAGATGGCACCAGTCGACAAGAGCCGCAAGCATGAGTGCAGCAAGGAGGCCCCCTCAGAGCCTGTTGGGGACACCCAGGAGCACTGGGTACACGAGGCCTGTGCAGTGTGGACCGGCGGGGTCTACCTGGTGGCCGGGAAGCTCTTTGGGCTACAGGAGGCCATGAAAGTGGCTGTGGACATGGTAAGAGGCCAGCCCAGTGGGGTGGGGAGTTTGGGGTTCTGGGGAGCCTGGACTCTCCAGTGCTGCATTGTCACAGCACTGTCCACAGGCTCCAGAGCTCCTGGAGGGAATTGAGTCATATCTGAGGTTAAAGCAGGATGCATGCACCCAGCCATTCCCTGGAGACTTCCCACTGTAGTTCATGTCCACTCTGGCCAGTGCCCCCCTCATACTCCCCTGGTTACCTTCTAGCTTTGGCCCAGTGCCAAGCCCAGAGACGCTGGGGCCCAGACAAGCTGTGAGGCTTCCTAGAGTTAAATGCCAGGGCAGCAAGCTACTGCTCTGGATGGAGCTGGGGCTCAGGGGAGGACCTCTCACCCACATAGCGCTAAAGCAGGGACCCAGCACAGCCCTCCCCTTGGTGGGGGGCAAGACCACTGGCCCACACAGGCCAGGGCTTCTCCACCTTTGGTTCTCAACTGTCTGGCAGGGAGATCTGGCAACTGAACATCTGTGACAGTTGGGAGCCACCCTGTGCTCACTGTAGGCCTTAGCCATTGCTACCCACTTTAAGGAGTGTGGCATGTGCTGAGGTTCTGCCGGTCACGCTGTTAGGCTGGCACCTGACCCACATTCAGGGCTTCGTGTCCTGTACTGTGAGAACTAGTAGTATGGCTGGCTGATGCCTTTATAGCAGTGACTCCTGCAGGAGTTCTGCAGGCCACTTGGTGCTGGCTCCTCGAGACTCACAGCCTCTGTATAGGTATGTGCAAGGGAGCATTAGCCAGCAGCAAGGGAGGGGTCAGCAGAAGCACCACCCAGGCAGTGGGCTGCTTTCTCCAAACACACACACACACACACACACACACACACACACACACTCTCAGGACCCTGGGTTGGGATCCTGTGGAATGATGCTCCCCGGAGCTGTACCTGGTGCAGTGTTTTAGTGTTCTCCCTCCCTCCCTCTCTCTCTCCCTTCCCCCTTCCCTCCTTCTCCTCTCTCTCTCTCTTTCTCTCTCTCTCTCTCCAAAGCCCCAAGGAGCTGGCTTCTCACTGTGATTGCCTACACCACCTCTGCACTGCCCTGTCTGGAGTCCCCATTTGCCACTCCTTCCCTCCTCTCTGCTTCCTCCCTCTCTCCTTCTTGCCCTCCCTCCCTTCTTTCCTTCCCTCCCTCCTTCCTGCTATTGCTATGTGCAATTGGTCTCCAGGGGGAGCCAGAGAACCTCTCTAGGCTGTGACTGTGTACCTGAACCATTTGGTGACCAGGCAGAGCTAGAGCTGCTCCTTGGCCGTCTGTGCTTCCCTCTCCTCCCTTGCTGCCCACCTGCTCCCCACAGTAGCTCCCACACCCCACAGTGGCCATGGCATCATGTGCTGAACTGAACCACACAGCCACCTATGCCTCCCAATTGCACAGGCTCTGACTCTCCACAACTCACCTGGATGGCTGGAGAACCTCTCCATGTCACGACCTCCTGCCCAAGTCTTCCTTACAGGCATAGTAGCCCCCTCCTCACTGGGGAAGACCCAGCCTGTGTGCCCAACTGATGGTGGCCCCCTCTGCCCTGGATCTCCCCTCTTCCCTTCTCAATTTTCCCTCCCTCCTGATTCCTTTTGGGTCACTGACTTCTAGAAGTAGGCTCAAGTCTGTACCGTCATTAACACAATAATCCATGGATCACCCTCCCCTGCCATCCTCATCAGCTGCACTGAGAAGTGCCCTGCACACTGTGGCCTTGGCTCTGGCCTCACAGAGTGCTGGTATCCCCTCCCCAACACTCATATCCCTCAGGCCCATACACTATCATCTCTGTGTTTCCTGCACCCTGGCTGGCCTGGGCAAGGAGAGGAAAGCAGTGAGCATGGATGGAGCCCCTTGCCTGCCTCAGTCCATTCCACTGCCTATGGGTCACCACTCATTGACCTATACACACACACACACAGCCTTGCTGGGCTGAGGAGAAAGTGCCCTCCCCCAAGTGTCACTCAGCCAGGCCTAGAACTTGCCCCACCCATCCCTGTCTGCTGGCCAAGGTCCAGAAATGGCCTGGCAGCCCCTACTGCTGGGGGCATCCCAAGAAGGCCAGAAAGGGAAGCACACTTGAGAAGGTACTCGCTGATCACCAAAGGCATCTCCGTGCCAGAGAGATGGTCCTGGCCCTGCCTGGGCTTGTCAGCTGCTTGTGTACTGGAGAGAGGAAGTTGCTCCCCTCAGCTTCAGGGGTCTTGCCCCAGTGCATCCCCCCGAGGGAAAGCTGTCCTCACAAAAACACCCTGGAAGGATGGGCAAGGTTTGGTCTTCCCAGGCTCCATAGAGAGGAACCCTCAGGGCCACTACTGCTTTCTGCCTCAGTGACATCACACTCCTGTGGAGTCCAACAGACCCTGCTTTAAATCCCATCTGCCAAGAGCTGGCTCTGTAACTCCAGGAAGGCACTTGTCCTCTGTGAGCCCCAGAAGCTGAACCCATCACAAGACTTCGAGATTGTGCAGGTGGTCCGTGACCTGCCTGGACACAGCAGGGCTCAGTATGCAGCTGAGGCCCCAGCCCCACCTCGAGACACCTGTGGTACTTTGGCCTCCCTTCTGCTCTCTGGAGGACAAAACTGTGAGCCCCCAGGAACACCCCTCTTCCTTCAGTCCCCCCCATAATACCTGCCCTCTATGAGCCCTGCCATGCCTCCTGGGACCACAGCCTACCCTTATCCCAGGCTTCCCCAAGCCCTGCCCTCAATACCACAATGAACCCCCACCTCCTTCCAAACGAGGCCTGGCCATGGGATGCTGAGGATGGGGGTACTCGTGCCATAAGGAGGCTGGTGCCTACCTTGGTCCTAGTGTGGGGCTCTTGGCCAGCCAGGGCAGAATTCATGACCACAGCCCTGTGGGGTGGCTGGGATCAAAAGCATCTGAGCCTTGTCCCTCTGTACCTCAGTTTCCTCACATCTACAATAGCCTTTCAAATTCCTGCCTCAGGGGTTGCTGGGGGCCCCAGCACAGGTGAAGTGGAGAGAGGCCGTCAGCCGGAGGGGCCCCAGAGCTCCCCTTAAACGTCACAGCGCCCCAAGGTCCACTGTGGATGAGAGACTCATGCTTCATCACCCCTTTTTGGGTGAGGAACTGGGGGGATGTTGGGTCCCAGTTACCCAGGAGCCTTTCCCAGACCAGATGGGAAGGAGGCCTCAGCCCTGAGTAAACTGCCCATCCAAAGGGACTGCGAAAGCTTGGTGTTCTAGAATGTTTCTCAGCCCCCACCCCACATCTGCTCCTGGCCTCCCCAGGATGCAGAGTTTTGGGGTACAGCCTCCTCCTGCTCCTGGCAGCATGGGTTGGTGATTTGTGACTCTATATCCCAGCTCAGCTTCTAGGTCTGGGGCCCAGCTGGAAGAGTAAGTTTGCAGGCAAGTCACCACCCCTGTACTTTTGTAGGTAACGGGAAAATATCAACATGACAGGGCTTCCAGCCATTCTGGCACAGAGCAAGTGACTTACCTCTGGGCATGCTCTGGCAACTTGATGTCCCTACCTAGGCCTTGAGTTTTGCTTCACTTTCTTAGGAACTTCCCAGCCCTGCCAGTCCATCCTGGCCACTCTGAGCAGCCAGGCCAGGATAGGGCAGATGCATGCTGGCCAGCATTGGTTCCAATGAAGTTAGCATCTTGAGGGGAGCACTGTTGCCTCTTTCAGATCTGAAGCCCCATTCATCCCAGGGAGAGTGACCGTTGAGCCCTGGGGTAAGACAGACAGTACCCTCCTGCCACTGCACTGGCCTGGAAGGGAAGCCTTATTCTTACATCCTATACAGTAGGATTACTGAGAATCACCCATCTGGAAGGCTGTTATGAGCCAGGATGAGGACCCTCCATGGCCCGTAGGAAGTGCTTGGCCACCACTGGCTGCCCATGGTGGTGTCCCTATCCACCATGCTAGCCTAGGGTGCCAAAGAACACAGCCTCATCGTTGTGCCTCCATCCTGCTGATCCTTAGGGCCATTTTGGAGAAAGGGGTCTGGGATTGCAGGAACCTGTCTGGAAAGCATGAGGACTTACCTGCCTTCCCTCTCTCTTCATCAGACGTGTTCCAGCTGCCAGGAAGCCGGGGCCACCATTGGGTGCTCCTACGAAGGATGCGTCTACACCTACCACTACCCATGTGCCAGTGATGCAGGTAAGAGCAGCTTGGGAACAGGAAAGCCTGGGGGTGCATCTGAGCAATGCAAGGCCCTGGGGGCCCTGGTCCTCCAACCCAGGCCCCATGTGACCCATATGACCTCTGGTTACCTCCTGTTTCCCCAACAACTATTAATTGTTTTATTTTTTTTGTGGTGCTAAGGATTGAACTCAGGACCTTCACATCAAACTACATTTCTAGCCCCTTGTAAAATACTTAAGACACAGTCTCAATAAAATGCCCAAGCTGGTTTTGAACTTGAGATCTTCTTGCCTCAACCTCCTGGTGCTAGAATTACAGGTGTGTCCCACCACACCCACCTGGCCCAGCAATTCTTTATCTCTTCATCTTTCTACCTACACCTAGGCTGGGCAATGCCAGAAACATGAATATGAGTCCATCTCCACCCACCTGATTGAGGACTGTCCAGAACAATGAAAGGAAGGCAGAAATTATAATATGAAGAGCTGTTATTACCAAAGGGTAAAGGGGATCCCAGAAAGAAAAGGATACTGGGGCTAGGACTTTGGAAGGATGAATAGGCAGGCGTTCACTGAACAGAGAAAAAGAAAAAGGTTATACTACACAATTTAAAAACTGAATAAGGTGGGGGAGATGGGGTTCAAAGCAGAGACTGAGGCCAAATGCTCCTCAGTTGGCCACAGGAAACCCTTGGGGAAGGTTTTGAGCAGTGCCATGGGGTCCAGAGGCAGGCCTGGGCTTGTCTGCAACCTCTCATTCCCTACTCTCTCCAGGGGCATTTACTAAGCACCTACAATTGCCTGAACCACAGTGAGAGACTGAAAGAGTTAGAGAGATCCAGGAAGCCCAGAGCCCTCATCAACCAGGCAGGGAATTTGAGGCTCGGAGAGATCCCTTCTTTCGCCTGAAGAAAGGTGTTGTTTGCTGAGTCACGTTAGTCACTCATGTTAGCAATATTTTAAGGAGCTGTAAGACCAAGCCCTGGGGACCTTTCTACCTGTGTGCTTGCAGGCAGCCTGTAGGAGTCGCTGCGCTTGGCTCCCCCATCTGTGCCATGGAGGCTGCCATAGTCCCTTCATCTCAGCGTTGTTTGCAGCAGAGGGAAGTACTGAGCACTGTCCGGGAAGGGTAGACTCAGACCTGTTCTGAGCCAGGCTCCATGACCTCTACTGCCACCTCCTATCCTTCCAAGCTCTGGCCTAGAAGGGGAGAGGTGACCATGACCCTGCCTTACAGTGGACAAAGCCTGGGTACTGGGGCTCAATCACTCTTCCCACAGACCTACAAATGCCCCTCCCCACCTAGTACCCCATTAGGCGCTGCCCTAGGCTGAGGGGACCGCAGCCCATACCTTGCCTGTCGGTTGGGTTCTAGGCCAGCATCAGCCCCAGGCCTGCCTGGGAGCACACACAGGACCTTGAGTGGTGACAGTTCCTTGGCAAGACTGAGCTGCCAGTGGCAGACAGCGAGGGGTGGCTAGAGCAGAGCCATGGTGGGGTCTCTTGCTGCTTCCCACCCTGAGCAATGTGAACCAGATTCCAGTGGGGACTCAAGTCATTTACTGGGCACATGGCCTCATAGCAACCATGATGGACTGCAACCCTCCCTATGGCAACTGACAGCAACCCCCAAATGCCAGGGTCCACACTGTCCCCAGCCACATCTTCACAAATAGCTGTCTTGCCCATAGCCACACAGCAGGGCACTGGCAGAAGCAGGCTGCTTGGCTCTCTCTTTACCCTCTACTCTTCCCCCAATTCTGCCCCCTGGGGGTCACCTTGGAGGCCAGCACATGGGAGAATGTGGTTCTTGCTCATAGTAGTGGAGACCAGAGCAGGAAGACAGTGCCATGGGAGAAATTCATCCTATTTAGACTGGGAGGGAAGCCAGGAAGACTTCCAAATGGAGGTGACACTTGAACCAGGCCTCAAAGGATCAGCTGAAGTGGGCGACAATTGGCATTGTATACTAGACTTTGAGCAGTAGAGTTTTTGCTTGAAGTGAAATCTTAGTAGGAGTCTCCATATAACACGAATCTGTAGAGCCAGTGGGATTGAGGCTGGAAGAGGGCTGGGAAGATGACATACTGCCATGATCAGGCTGAAGAGTCCAGGTAGGAGAGATGGTTGTCTAGTGCAGATGGAGCCATTAAAGCCACAGGACTTGGTGTAAAGTAGTGTCAAGCCTGACATCAAATTTCCTCAAGTGGGAGTAAGAGTGAATGTAAGCAGGGCTGGCAGAAGATAGAGGGAAACTACTGCTGCTTAGTGACTGACTTTTCCAGTCTCAACTTACTGGCTAAAACACCAAGGGCACAAGGCAGCTGGCACACTCTGTGGGGGGCGGGATGCCCTAGGGAGGCCCCAGATGGGCAGTCTCTTTCTGCACGTGGTCTCTTCATGCAGCCTCCTGCCAGCAACCCAGTCCTGACAGATTGGAAGTCACAGACTAGAGAATGCATGGCACCTCTCCATTGGAGCTGGGCACTGGCAAGGGCTATCTGCCTGCCACACCTGTGGTGGCCCAAGGATAGGCTGCATTTGAGGCATCTGCAGAGATATGCAGGGAGCTGTCCCAGAGGGTCTCAGGATAGACAATGGCCACTGGCCAGAGGGAGCTCATCAGAGGGACAATGGGAGTTTGATACTCTGAACAGCTGGTGGTAGAGGAGAGGACCCTCAGGAAACAGGTGCTGCAGCCAGAGCAGTGAGAAAGGATCAGGCTTCAGGAAGCAGGGAGGACAGGGGAAAGAGGAGCTAGGGGAGCTGTTTTTCCAGGGGTCTTGGTTGGGCTCTCGGGCTGCAGGACCTGGGCTGCCCATGGCTACCACCTTAAACCCTGCACTGCTGTCCTGGCCCCTTTCCTCTTGCTTTCCTTCTAGTCCTTGTTAAGGGGACGCCACTTTGGAGGCTAACAGTGATTCCTGAGAGGAGGAAGAGGTTATCACACTAAGGTGTCCTGTTTAAACTTACCGTACCCAGCATTGGGGCACCTTCATACCCAGGTCCAAGACTCCAGGAGGGGGCAGACACTGATGCCTGACCCTTCCTGGCATCTCCCCTCCCATGCCCAGAATGGGCCACGTTGGGTGATTGCTGAGCAAGCTGGTTTGGAAGTGGTTTCTAGTGGCCCGAGCCCTGGGCCCTGCTGCCTGCAGCTGCCCCAGGGGGCTGTATGTCAGCCTCATACTCTTGGGAAAGTCTCACACAGGTCCAGGATTGAGTCCGGCTGCCCAAACACAGGACAAGGAAAGCTGATGGCTGCCTCCAGCCACCGGCCCTAGGCAGGCAAACCTCGGATGGTAGGCACCCAGCTTCCATCAGGGCTGGGCAGGAAAAGAGAATAGAAAATGAGAGAGAGCTTCATAGGCCCACAGCCACCCTGCCCTGCCCTCAGTCTGCAGATCTATTCCACCTTTCCACCCTGGTGCCACCCCAAATTGAGCTGGAAGAATGCACTGGGGAAGGGTGATCCCCTGGCCATTGAGGCTGGAAGAAGAAAGGGGTGAGGAGCCCAGAAAGGATCTGGGTGTGTTGGGTGGGGTGTCATGGAAAAACTGGGGTCTCCTTGGGTGGTAGCAGGCAGAGGAACAAGGTGTTGCTGAAACATTAGCGCACCCTGGCCAAGGTGGCTGTGAGGACTGGCCATGTTTGCCACCCGCTGCACCTCCTCTGTAGTATGCAGTGCTCTGGCGACCCACACTTGCTGGGATTTGCTCAGTCCTGAGACCTGCACGTCACCGCCAACCCCAGGTCCCTATAGGAACAATTGCCTGCATCCTGAGCACCTGTGCCATACACTTGGAACAAGTTTTACACTCTTCACCAGTGCCCAGTGCCCATGATGGACATGCAGTAGATGGCATAATGCTCATCATACAGATGTGGAGACCAAGACTCAGAGTAGCTGACCCATTGGTCACCAGATGCCAACCCCTGGACGTCAGCCCTCTCTATAGAGACTGGGCATGTACCTCTCACAGAGCCTGCCTTCCAGTGGGGAGGGCAGACCGACCCATTGTAACAGGAGATTGTGACCAGTATGCCGGGAATGAGGAGAGAAAGCCTCAGGAGTGGGGTGGGGTGAGCAGGTGAGCTTCTGCTTTAGGGAGTCCGGGAAGATCTCCCTAGTGACAAGAAGGAGCTAGCCGCGTGTGGGGGTGGGTGCTTTCTAGGATGGAGAAAGTCAGGTGAGAATAAAGAACAGGGAGGAAGGGGGAGGCAGAAGGTCACATCACATTCCTGTAATGGATGATGGAGTTCATCTCAGTGAGGACCTACTTCTTTTTTGTTTGTTTTGTACTGGAAATGGAGCCTTCTGTACGCTAGCTAAGCTTGCACTGCATCACTGGGCTGCACCCCTGCTTGGGGTTTCTTCTTTGAAGACGTTCCCTCTGCCACCTGGGACTTGGTGTCAGTGGGACCCCTCCCCTCTGCCTGCTGAGGAGACGCCAGCAGCTGCCCCCACCCTGCCTAACCACTGAAACTTCTTTGGTCACAGGTTGCATATTCATCGAAGAGAACTTTTCTTTGAAATGTCCCAAACATAAGGTAGGTGACCACTAGGACCCTATTCCTTCATTTCCTTTACAAGCCCCTCCCTTGACCTGCAGACCCCAGCAGGGTCCACCCAGGAGTCCCGCCCCCAGCCCACCTACCCCAGCGGAGGGGCAGGTCGGCCCAGGCAGGTCAGAAAGGTCGATTTGTCCATCAGGCCGGTCCCTAGGGAGCCCTCCGGGGTGGGGGAAGAACCATGAGCTGTCCCTGGAAGAATCTCCCATAACCCTCTTCAAACGGGACAGGGGAGGACAGGCGGGGGAAGGGGGCAGGGGACAGGGCGGAGGACACGCTGGTGAAGGGGGACAGAAGGAAAGCCAGAGGAGGGGCCCAACGCTTTTACTGGGAAAAGACAGATGACTGCTGCCGGGCTAGGGGGCGCACCCTTGTGGGCAGGGTTGCAGCAGGGGCGGGATCAGCGCTTTAGGGCTGTGGGAGAGCCTGACCCGCAGTCTAGTTCCCTGTTCTCTCGCAGAGGCTGCCGTTGTAATGCACCAAACAGCCGGAGGAGCCGCCGGAGCCCGCCTGCCGCCCGCCGCCGAAGGAGAGGAGCCTCCTGGAGTTGCTCCTAGCGTGCGTCCAGAGCTGATCCTTGATCCGGGTGCCGGATCTTGGATCCGGCCACCGAGGGCCCAAGCGTGTGGCCCCGGGTTGGGGAGAAAACCTGTTCCGGAGTACCCTGCTCCCGGAACCGGACGGCACAGGGCTTTCTTGCCCACACCCCTGGAGCCAGGCTTGGAGAGGGGGAGGCGCGAAGCGGCCAGACTCCTCCAGGCACCCAGTCTCCGGCGGGAGTGGGAGAGGCTTTGGCCCGGGGACGCTTTTTTACCCCAGAAGTCCTAAGGATGACCTGGCACACATTCCTCGTGGGTGCTGCCACCACCCCAGTCGGTTGTGGCACGTGGCTGGGCGCCCTGGGGTCAGGGGTGGGGGTCCAGATGACCCTGGAAGAGGCCGAGGGTGGCTCCTAGCTCCGTAGATGAGGTGGGAGAACCGAGGCCTTTTAGGAGAGGGCCAGGTTGATGGGGGGAGCGGGCCAGAGGCTTTGGAGCAAACCTTTCGGAACTTGTCCAAGCATGCTTCCCACCCAGCCTTTGCCGAAGCTGCCGTGCGGCTCGGGCAAATCTGGGGTAGATGTGGGCCTACGCTCAGAGGACGCGGCTCCCTGGGTGCGGGCAGAATGGGAGACCCTTTGGCTTCTGTCGTAACCTTCCCAGTTCTCCACCTCACCCCTGGAGCCCAGCCTGGAGCGAAGCAGAAAACACGTGACCGAACGGCCGCCCTGAAGAGCCCACCTCCGGCCGACGGACGCGCGGATGGTGCCTCCGTGCACCATCACTGGTCTCTAGGGATTGCAGCGCCACTTGTCACGGGAGCAGGGACAGCGCTAGATTCGTGTACAAAACCTGTGTACCCCTCTATATATATGTTACATAGAATGTATATATGTTGGGAACATGCTCGCTTCTCCCGTGTGTCGCCACCGTGCGTCGTGCGCCCCACAACCCAGAGCCCCACCCGGGCCCTTGCCGGGCAGGGAGCTACTGCGATGCCCTTCCCTGTGCAGCCACCACCGGCTCGGGCCAGTCCGTCCGCCTGTCCGTCGTGTCCTCAGCTCTGTCCACGCTTCGATAGGCCTGAGGCAGCCCCCTGCCCGGGGCTGCCCTAGCAACTTCCTGTACATATGACTGTAAAATGGTAAACGTGTGTATTATACCTGGCCTCGTTATATAGTGTATATATATGTATACATATACATATATATAATATATATGAAGACTGTAAATGTTAAGACGACTAGTGTTCTTATTAGTATATTGCTTCACACTGAAGATTGTGTGTATCGAGCTGTTTCTAAAAGATGTTTATTTTCCTTAAGAGTAAAAAAGTCATTGCATTCAGAAAAAAAAAAGTCAATAAAGAAACGACAATTGTTTTGGAAGTCTGCAACCCGTGGATTCCAACCAGACCAGGCTTTAGGAGGGGTATGGGGATGGGGGGAGGTCACAAGGGAGATGGATTTCTCCCCTTTTGTGTAGGAACAGGAGACCCTGCTGCCATCCACAGGACCAAGGATCTTCCCTCCGTGGTACAAGGTTTTCCCCGGATGTGCAGGGAGGTGACCAGGGGACAGGTGGTGGGGGAAGTGAGACGGTCCAGACATACAGGTTGTAGCTGTCACAACAGGCCCTTGAGGACTCCGACTCTGTCCCCAGTGTCACCCTGGGACATGGTGGGGGCTGGGAAGAGAAGGGAAGACTGAAACCATCAAGCCCTAACAGTTGAAACATGTGGCCTAGAGATCAGTAGGGCAGCTTCCTCGGGAGGTAGTTTGTCTCTTATGATAGGTGGGGGATGGGACGCCTCAGCCTAGGCACTGGAGAAACAAAGGCCCATGGATGCTCTGGTCAGCACGTCCGCCCTCCTCCCAAAAGGAACAAAACCTAGGTTATAAATAATTTCATTTTTTATTTTCTGTACAAAACTTTTCAACCTACGAAAATAAAAGTTTGCAAAAGGCAAAGTAGCACATGAGCCCCCGAGGCCAGGAGGGGGACTCACCCGGATCTACACTATGTACAAGTCTTCCCAGAATGGAGAGAGGCGCTTCGGTGCAGGGCCCCCCTCCGCTCGGGGAAACGCAACCCTCTCCTCCCTCTAGACAGACCAGAGAAAAAGCCACTAAGTGCCTAACGAGCAAGGTGGGTGGCACGCGGCCGGCCCAAAGCCTGCTATTCCCCAATCGGCCACCAGAGGACGGCACCATCCTGGCGGCCGCTCATCCAGTACAGCGCCCGCCGGTGGTGAGGTCGCGCCCCTTTGGCCGCCCAGAGCAAGACACAAAAGTCCCAGAGGGTCTCCCATCCCCAGGGAAGCACAGCCATGGGTGAGGCGCCGCTGGGAATCTAGCTGGAAGTGACGGTGGTCCCGCCGCCCAGGCGCATGAGCATCTGCTGGCAGTCGTGCAGCAGCCGGCGATCTCCGAGCTTCTCGAGCGTGCGGGCCGCCTCGGCAAGCATTCCCACACGCTGCCCAGGAGCCGACAGGAAGCCGGGCGGCAGGTAGCACGAGGCCAGCAGCAGAGCCTCCGCGTGCTCCCGCCGCGTAGGCCGTGGCTCCAACTCTGCCGCACCTGCGCGCACGGGGCCCCGTCAGGAGTGGGGTTGGAGTATGGCCACACCCCGGGGTGGTCTGGCAACCCAAGTCACCTCCCAGTAAGTCCACCTCAGGGTACATAAGTCTCTCTCCCCACTACAGTCTCAGGCACACGTGAGACCCGAGACCCCTCCCCAGGGTCAGGTCAGTAGAACACAGATTCGGAGGCACACATATGCAGTCGTGTATACCACAGTCACCCATGAAAGCTAGGACAGCAGGCCCCCTCACCTCCTTTGCTCCCTGGGCCTGCCCGCCGCCTCAGACTACGGTCCAGCAGCTGATGCGTCCGTGTGGGGCTGGCCCCTGCCATCAGCCGGGCTGTGGCCTCATGCAGAAACACCTGGGCCGGTGGGGTAGGAGAGGTGAGGTTAGGCCCAGTCCCCACACCCCCCAACTTCATGTCCCCAGCGTTCAGCAAGAGAATTGTGGGCACTCACCCTCCGCATGGCAGGCCGGAAGCTCTGTGCCAGGCGCCTCAGGCCACTCAAGTCCCTCTGGAAGCCACGAAGCTCGAGAGCAGAGGCCTGGGGCCCGCTGCTGGCACCCTGAGCCACCTGGGCTGAGGTAGGTGGCTGCTGCTGCTGCCACAAGCTAGTGCGTGCCACAAGGAGCAGGTCACACAGGAGCAGCTGCACAGCCTGGGGGTGGCAGGCAGGACAGGGGTCACAGGGGCCCTAGCTCTAGGAGGGGTGGGGGGCAGCGGTGCCAGAGGCCGACCCCGGGGTGCACTGCCGAGGCACTGCACCCGCCTTACACACATGCAATGCAACAGCAATGCACCGCGGGGCCGCCCGCCTCTCCAGGCCCCCCACCCCTGCCTGGAGTGGCATCCTGACCCCTGGCCTCTACAGCCCTCTTCCTGGGGGAAGGGATACTGAAGCCAGAGGGGGCTGTCATTGTTCCCTGGATGCAGCCTAAACCACAAACAAGGTCACCCAGACACCTTGTCCTGTGCTACGCGGGCTAACCCTGAATGGGAGGGCAGTGGAGAGCTGTGACCCAGCCCAGCCAGGCCCCTAGCCCCACCCCTCACCTTGTCGATGGAGCTGCCAGTTGATGTGGTAGCCAGGCTATCCTGCAGGTACCCGCTGGCCTTTTCACAGATGGCCAGGCTGGCCAGGCCAGACTCTGACTTTCCACAGCCCAGCAGAGCCCGGACAGCCTTGAAGGAATGCAGAGCCGCCCTGGGCAGGGGTCTCCTGGCAGGGCCAGGTCAGAGGGGTAGCAGTCAGACCAGGCCACAGGCCCTCCTGCATCCCTCTGCACTGGTTCGGTATTCCTGGGGGAGTAGCATAGTAATCCCTACCCCACAGACCAAAGGTGAGTACAAGGAGGGTGCTGAGGGGCCAGGAGGAATGCCTGAGGTCCAGGGTGGTGACAATCTCGCTCTGCACTCACTCGGTCTCCTGCAGGGCACGGGGCAGCTGCTCTACCAGTGGGTATAGCCGCTCTGCTGCTTCTTCGTCACGCCGCAGCCAGTGGATGACCACAGCTGTCAGTGAGGCCCACCACTTAGCCACTGGGTCTGTTCCTGCAGAGGAGGGAGGGGTCCCGGGACCTTCAGCCACACTGTACCTGGGCCACACGGGGAGTCAGGGCAGGGCTCCCAGGGCTCACCAGTGGTGGCAGCCATGCTAGAGCTGATGGAGAAGCTGCAGGCAGGGGTCCCGGCAGCATCAGAGCAGCTGTTCAGCAGCTGCAGGTAGCTGAGGGCGTCTGAGAATTCTCTGTGCAGGACAGATGGGAGGAGGGGTTCTAGGGAGGATCCCCTCCCCGCCTACCCACCAGAGCACAGCCTCACCCCATGGCTCTACGAAGGGCACCATCTCCTCCTGCCTGGGTGGTAGGGAAAATGAGACCTAAAGAGGCCCTGAGAGCACATGGCAAGTGACAGTAGCCCAGGCTCCATGTTGTCAGCATCCTGCCTGGAGGGGGCCCCAGGAACACTTACCTGTCCCCATCAGCTGACCCTGGGCTGGGGCTCAGGCTGGGCTGAGCCACACAGTTCAGCGCTCGCTCCAGGAGATGTTCACGGAATAGCTGAGTCACCTGGGCCAGGGGGTCCACTGTGGGCAGGACAGGGTGAGTGGGCATGGGACAGCACCCCTCCTCTCCATAGTCACCTCTCCACACCCAGGTCAGACAGAAGTACCAGCTCGGCCTAGGAGCAGCCCCCACGAAAGACAGGAGAAAGGTGGAGGAAAAACACCCCAGCCCCTGCCTCTGGGGAGGACAACACCATGTGTATACCACACTGTCTCCCAAAGACTGCCTACCACAGCTGCCCTGACCCAGCTCCCTCTCTGTCCCACTTCCTTATTCCACAACAGTGTGTCCGAGGATCACCTCTCCGATCAATACACTGTCCTAAGAGCCCTGTGCTACTTCTGAAGAAGCTCAACTGGAACAGAAACCCAGCCAGGACTTCCAGTTCCCACAGCCCTCATGGCTACAACCCACAGTGGGGAGAGATGAACTGAGGTGGGCAGGGATATCCAGATATGCAGGGGACAATGCGAGACAGCAATATGGGCCAAGGCACAGGACATGGAAGAGGGACAGGAGAGAGCACCTGGGTTCCCGGCCAAGCTGTACAGGCTTTCCCTTGGGGCACTGCACACGGCCCAGTCCCCATCCACGAAGAAACGGTGGCCCACAGGGTGGCAGAGCCACTGCATGGTAAGAGGCACTGAGCTGCTCTGTGCCAGGCAGGCCTGGCGGGCACCACTCAGGAAGAAGCGCTGTGGAGGAGGGGAGCCAGGCTGTCACACTGTTGCCAGGCAGGGGCTCAAACCCAACCCCAGCTGAAACCACTGCTAGCCCTGGAGCCCACCTGGTAACCGGCTGCCACATGCTGTACAGCCCTTTGGCCAGGGGGCCACCTGAGAGAGCTGCAAAGACAAGCTCCCAGCCCTGTCCCTACTAGCCCACCACCCACTCACTGTCAGAAAGTGCAAGGCTCTTGGGAGACTGGTCTTGACTCTCAGGGCAGCTGCCACATAGATCTCCGCCATCGTTGCCATGGACACAGTATCCCCTGCACATTCCGCCAGGTTCAGGGCACTCAGTGCCAAGTTGGCGGCAGTGAGATGCCCACCTGTGTACTTCCCTGGAAAGCAGGGGGTGTGAGGCCAGGAGCGGGGCAGTAGGGGGATCCCTCAGGCCAGCTCCCTACCCTGCCATACCCATGGCATGCAGCTGGTGCAGCTTGTGGTAGACAAGGGCTGCATCCCGGGCACTGGCGCGCACATCTGCCCTCAGGGCACAGTCCCTTTGTAGGCCTCCAGCACGGCCGGCCAGCCAGCGGCCCACCCAGAAGCGCTGTAGCAGGTGGCGGATGAGGTTCCAGAGCAGGCTGCAGGCCAGGTCCAGGTGGGAGGTAGGCAGGGGCCGGCCCAGCGCCCGAAGGGCCAGCCACAACTGCTGGGCAGCCTGGGCAAAGTCCCCCTGGGATGAGGGTTTTCCAGGTAAGAAAAGTGACGCCAGAATGTCTCCCTTCTGTCCGGGTCCCCAATTCAGTGGGAGTCTGGGGCTGGACAGGAGTGAGGAGAACGGGGCAATTCGTGGCATGTGCGAAACACAGGCAGCAGGGGAGAGCCAGCACCTTCCCGCTTGGGAGCCCGCGCGCTGCCCTGGCCTTGCCCCAGTCCTTCCCCAGGGCAGCCCTTACCCGGGCCAGGTCCAGGTCAGCCTGCTTGCGATGTCTCCAGAAGTGCACCGCGGGGCCAGAGTGAGGCCGCGTCACCGGCTCCCCATAGACAAAAAGAAATGCCAGGGAGAGCAGCACCAGCAACCCATTGCCCAGCCAGACCAGAGGGGGCAGCAGCCACTGAGCCCAGCCAGGGCCATCTAAGGGCAAAAGGAGGCACTAGGGACACAGCTCCCTGGAAGCCCAGAGTCCCAGGCCCACAGCTGAGGGTCTATAGCCCTGAGGGTCCCTCCCAAAGGTACTCTGGGTGGCCTGACCTACCTCTGCCCTCGGCACCCAGCATGGCACGCCCAGGACTGTGGTGGACACTGGTGGCATCCAGGGGGCTGGGAAGCCCCCGGCCACTCAGCAGGGAAGCCAAGGGGTTGTAGAACACACAGAGGAAAACCAGTGCACACAAGGCCAGGCGGGAGCGGTCCAGCATGCCCCGGCTATGGGGAGACGGCAGCTGCTCTGGCTTTACCTGGAGGGTAGGCAGGGCAGTGAGGGCAGGCCCAAGCCCAGAGGACACAGGGCTGAAGGGGGCACTGGGATCCTCCAGGGCTCCAGGCTCAGTCTTTGCCTATGAAATGGGAGGTCAGCTTTTCCTGACCCCATCCTGGAACTCAGAGGACACCACTGGGAGAGGGAATGGGGCAGTGCTGTAGGGCCCAACCTGGCTGTCCTCGATGACTGGACTGTCAGGCTCCGAGTCACTGCCGCTGCCACCACTACCACTACTCCTGCTGCTGAGGGACAAAGGGCTGCTCTGGGAGGGCGAGCCGGCATCCGAGGGTGGTGGAGTCAGCGTGTCTACCACCTCAGACTTCACACCCTCCATGGCCACATCTGCATTTTCTCCACTGCCACAGTCTGACACCAGATCCTTCAGTGATTCTGTGGACCAGAACAGGCAGAGCTGGGGTGAAGGCTGGATTCCCCAGCCTCAGTCAGCTTAGGACCCTGGGGGATAGACTACCCTGAGGCTGGGGAAGGGGGACAGGGCTGGGTTACTGCCAAAAGAGGCTAGGGTAGCTGGAGAGTCACAGCTGACAAAGAGACCAGATTCAAAGGCCAAGGCTGAGGCCAGGCCAGGAGTGGGACCAAACCCAGAGGTGGGCTCACTGTGAGAAGGGGTTGGAGCCAGGGTGGGGAGGGCCTAGATGAGAGTCCAGGGAAGGGGAGGAGAGACAGAAGACTCACTGCTTTTGTGGACAGCACTTCGAAGACTCAGGTTCTCCTGCTTGAGTTTCTGGTTGCTGTGTTGTAAGAAACGGATGTAATCGATGGCCTTGCGCAAGACAGCAGATTTATTCAGCTGTAGCGGGGAGAGGGGGAGAGCACAGTTGGCCAGTCATGCCTGGCTGTGGCCACCTAGCAAGGGAATGCAGTTACTCTGGAACATAGCTGCCTCAGGATCTTTACACTTGCTGTTCTTCCACTAATATTGCCAAAGGTAGGTCCTAGGGCAGAAATAAGGATTAACATGCACAATACACACAGTAGTGTCTGGTAAGCGGCTGCTATCATTATGATGATCTTCATGCCTTATTCCCTCATCTCCTTCAGGGCTCTGCTGGAGTAACACCATAGCAAGTCCTTCCCTGACCACCTGACTTAGATTTGCAACTTTTACCATCCCTCTTCCTAGTCTTTTTCTCCATGTCTCCCCTGGCCCTCAATAAAGTTTAACTGAATTCACAGAGCTGCCCAGCTGCAGTTGGCTCAAGTCCAAGCCCCTGTCTGTCCAGGCTCCGCCCAGCCCATCTTCATGCCTGTTGGCCCAGCACTGCTCCTTCCAGGGTCACACATTCTGCACCTTAGCAGGCTCTGCCCACACCTTTGCCTCCGTGCCCACCACCAGATCCTTGAGCTCCACGATCTTGTCGTTGATGGAGGAGCGGTAGCGCTTCTCGATGGCATTATGGGCTGTGCGCTTCTCCCCACGGCTCTGGGCGGAGCCTGGGGCTTTGCTGCCAGCTGCAAGCCGGTTGATGGGCAATTTGTCAGCATCCACGACCAGTGGCACCGTGGCCAGGATGGTCCCACCACTCACCAGAGTCTGCAGGGCCAGGCATGTGTTACCAGGTGGGCATGCATGTGTACAGCCCCCATACCCTTCTACCCACCCACGGCACTCACCTGCAAGGGCCCTGTCTGCACAGCTGTGCCAGGGGCCAGGGAGCTAATACCCGTTGCCTTCACAGTGGCCCCCACATCTGTCTTCATGGTCGTCAGGAGCAATGAGTCTGCCTTGATGAAGTGTGGCTGCAGCAGGACCTGGCAGTGGGAGAGAGCTTAGCCATGAGCTGTATCTGTGCTAAGGACGGCCATGTCCCCAGTACCAGGCCAGACTCCCTTACCGGGACCTGCTGGATCTGTGAGGTCACGGTGGTTGTTCCAGGGGCTGCTGTGGCTGTCAGAAGCTGCTGGGGGGCCATACTCTGGACCGGGGCATGAAAGGAGGTGGGTATGACTCCTGTCGGGGAAGCCAATGGCAGGCCAAGCAGTGGCGGCTGGGCGCTCCCGGAAGGGGTTTCTACAGAGACAAAGCCTGGGGCTTCAGGCACAGGACGCCCTTGTCCACTTTCAACCCGCTCTTCAGGTCTCTATCATCCATGGCCTGGGATGAGTCATCCCTTCTGGTTTCCTACTGGATAGGCCCTGCCTGGATCTGATGCAAACATGCTGACCAGGCCTCAGTGGGAGGCCATGCTCCACCCACCATGAAGGACAAGAGCACTTGAGTCACCAAGTGTCTCAAGCCTGCAAATCCTTTCATTAAGACCACAACTAACACTTCTTCCTATGCTCCCGGCAGCCTTGCCCCCGTCCCCTCCCACCACGTATTCCTCTTACCTGCCACAAAGCCTCCGGGAGAGCTGGAATAACCCAAAACAGGGGTGGAGTTGAACTGTGGAGGGGCTGGGGCTGGAAAGCTCTGAGGCAGGAGGGGCGGTAGGGGCTGAGGGATGGGAGGCTGCCGGGCTGGAGATGGCAGGGTAGGGGGCTGCAGGATGGTGAGTGGCACCAGCTCTTCTTTGATACCATGCCCAGGGGAGAAGGGGGACACAGAAGAGAACATCTTCAGTGGGGTGAGTACAGACTGGGGAGGGGATGAAGGTGGGGGTGTTGCCTTGGACCCCCCCAGGAGTGCTTCCAGAGGGGAGCTCAGTGACAGAGGTGGAGACAAGCTGCTTGGGGAGCAGGCACCAGGGCTGGCTGGATCTGTGTCTCCTGCCCCAGCCCCAGCATAAGGTGGATCAAATAGGCCAGGGAAGTCGCTGTTTTGGTTGTTGATGAGCTGAAGCATGTCTGGGAAGGAGAAGAGGATGTGTGAGTGACAGCAGAGCTGAGTGGAGGCTGGTCCCTAAGCACAGCTTGTTTGCAAACTCCCTGACCACACACAGCTGTTCGTGTGTGGGCAATGCCGCAGAGACAGAAAGCCACCCACATGAGCCAGAGCTCCTGGACACAGCCTTTTCTTAGGCACCTATGATGTGTGGAGCGACACCTAGCGCAGCTAGTGCACCCAACAACCCTGGCACCACAGGATATCATGGGTGTGCCTGGGCTAGATGTTTGCCTCAGCATCCAACAGTATCCTCAGTCCATGGCACACAGCTGACCCAAGCTCATTCCTTCATTCACTCATTCAGTAAGTATGTACCAAGTGCCCACACCATGCCAGGAACTGCTGCTGACCACGGACAAGATAGACATGACAGGCACATTGGTGCATGCCTGTAATCCCAGCTTCTCAGGAGGTCAAGACTGAGGACCATCAAGGCTAATATGGGCAATATGGTGAGACCTTTGTCTCAAACAAAACAAAACAAAAACATGCCCAGAACCAAGCCACTTTCTGGGGACCTGAGAATGTCCTGCATCTGCTTTTGTTCTGGTTTGGTGCTGGGGCTCAAACCCAGGGCTTCACACATGCTAAGCACAAGCTGTACCACTAACCCACACACCCAAGACCCTGCCCTGTAACTCAATAGGGAAAGCAGTAAACTTTCATTCCTGTCTTCATGGAGCATATGCTATAGAACACCCACCTCTGATTCCTTACACACACAAGGGGCAGCGCTGTCTTGGCCCATTTGGAGCCTGTTTTTCAGCCTGGGGGTGAAAAATGCCTCAAATACCCAGCAAGTCCACTTCTGAGGAGGGGGATGGGCCATAGAAGCCAGAGGGAGGAGGCAGCCCAGGACAGGTGGGAGACAGGACAGAGCGGGTCTTCACAGGATGCCATGGCCCCACTCCCCATCCACCGGCCACTCCTGGGCTCTTCCTTTGAGGCTGCCCAGAAAGGTTCTCTGAGTACAGAATCTGGGTAGAACTTATAGAATGCTGAGAAGTGGGCAACACCACCCATCCTCTCAACTTACAGGGGGAAGACAGAGGTGTACAGAAAGTCAGGACGGCTCGAGGCCCTGACAAGGTGGTGGGATAGTCCATGCCCAGATTTGCAGCCCAGGACCCCTAAAGAGGAATGGTGGACAGAGCAGACCTCCAAGAGGAGCACATGGCAGAACAAGATCCTTATCCATGCTGGGAGGACTCATAAAAAGGGCAGTCAAGGGGCCGAGGATTTAGCTCAGTGGTTCTGCCGCCTGCCTTGCAAGTGGAAGGACCCGAGTTCGATCCCCGGTACCAAGGAAAAAAAAAAAAAAAAAAAAAAGGGCAGTCATGCCAGCAGGGAGGAGTGGAGCCAAGAGCCAGGCACACTTTGGGGCCTCTCACACTGATGGGACAAGGTTGGGCCCCAAAACCTCCCAACACACAGCTCTAAGAAGGTACTATGTAGTATGGTGCCCATTCTACTGATGAAGAAACTGAGCTGTAGACTTATTGGCCTAAGGTATACAATGTCTGAGACAAAAATGAGTCCCCAGCCTGGTGTGGTGGCACACGTCTGTAATCGCAGCACTCAGGAGGCTGAGGCAGGAGGAACGCTGCAAGTTCAAGCCCAGCCTGAACTGTCTCAAAAAAAACAAAACAAACAAACAAAAAAAACAACCGAGTCCCCAAAGCCTCAACCAGTGGCCACTACGCCAAAACACTGGCTACTACCTCTAGTTTCTTGTAGCAAAAAAAAAAAAAAAAAAGCACCCTGAAGCTGAAGGAAAACCACAAGCAGCCCAGGAGCATGCAGTGAGACTCAAACTCAGGTCTACAAAATGCCATACCTATTGTCTCTGCACTTTTCTTTGCTCTACCAGGAAACCAGGAGCAAAACCACCATCACCAACAGAGACTTGGGACTGAGTCAGCTGGCCACGTAGCCAACCAGTGTATCTATGTTCTGGGCACAAATCCAGGCCTTGCCTGCAGCCAAGTGGCTTCAGGACCCAGGTCTGGCCTCTCAGGGCTTTGGTTTTTCCCTCTATAAAACCAAGTGCTGTGTATCTGACTCCCTCCGCCTCATACAGCCTGGGAAACACTCCCTACCTCAGCCCCAGCCTGGCCACAGGCCCTCTGCCCTAGCTGGCGACTAGACTAGCAGCCTAGCTGGCTCAGCCCAGGGCCCTCTAACCCACGTGGGGAAGCCACCTACTGGGTCAAAGACTTACTGGTCTAAGTTCTTATGGTGCCTGAAACAAAATTGAGTCCTTAAAGCCCCAACCACTGGTCATAAAGACCACCTTAAGTCACAGTATACATAAGCTCAATCCTGGGGTCCCCAGTGCTCACAAGAGCCCCAACCTGGGCCTCATCCCTGCCTTCCATGTCAGGTGGAGCCTAAGCCAATCGCCTCCTCTCATTGGGCCTCAGTTTCCTCATCTATACGACAGAAAGGATTAAACCCTTTTTGGCAGTGTTGCTGGAGGCCTTGCCCACTAGAGTGGGGACTCAACATTGCTGCTGACAGGTGTTGAGGCAGGAAAGTTACTGCAGGAGCAGACAGATATCCTTAAGGCCATGACAGCAAGACAGGGTGGCAGGCTCAGCCTCCTTGGATTCTCAAAGAGAAACACTTTGTGGACCTTCCAGGTTTATGCAGGTCACAAAGTCATACAGTAATTTTAATTGCAGGACCTCCAAGCCCTCACCCATCCATGTGAGGCCCCTTGTTAGATGGGGCAAACTGAGACCCAGAAAGACAAACTGACAATTTTAACAATCTGCAGCTCCCATCTTCTGCCTGAGGAGTCCAAGATACCCACAAAAAGTGGGGCCACCAAACAGGTTGAACTCCGTGGTAGGGAGAAGGATCCTGCCCAGAAGGGGCACAGGGATGTGGAGAAAGCCACTCCAGTCCACTTAGTTCCAGGATGCTGCTATGAGGTCTCTAAGCAAACCCTTCCCTTGAGTTGAAGGGGGTACTAACGAGATTGGCGGTGGTCTGACAACTTCCCCAGGGAGCCAGAGCCAGAATGGCTCCTGTACTCTCAGGAAGAGGCCTTCACACCCTCCTCCTAGGTGCGAGAGAGGAGGAGATCTAGGCAGTGCAATAGGACCTGCAAAAAAAAAATAGATCCTGCAAAAAAAAAAAAAATACCTTCAAATGTGCAATCCATGGCTCCGTGGTCCGCGTCCCCCGCCCCCTTGGGGCGCCCAGGCGGCTGCCCCTGATCGCGACCCTGGAGGACTTCACCTGTCAAGGCTCAGCAGGATTTTATAACTGGCCAAGTGCTTCAGCAGGCCGGCCCCTCCCCGCAGCGGGCCCCGCCCCCATCAGGCCCCGCCTCTCTCCCCGCCCTCCCCGGGCAGCGGGCCGGGCATGGGGTGAGCGCGAGCGGCCAATAGCAGCCACACCGCCCCTCACTAGGGGCCCGCCCCACCCCCAGAAGGTGGCCGGGCTCGGGTTTCACCCCAGGCTCTGAATGGGACCAGGGTTACTCCCGGGCGTCCGCCTTTAACCCGCTAGGCGCCAGCATCCTCCAAGGTTACTAGCGGTCACTGCCTGTCCCTTAGCTCCCGCTTCCTACTGGCGCCTCGGAGAAGTGTCGTAGGGCCTGGGTCAGGGGAGGGAGAACCTGCTGGGCTGTTCAAACACCCTGGAGCTCCGTGTTCCAAATCGTGCGCTCACTGGCACCTTGTGCAAGCCTGGGAAGCTCCAAGCCTCAGTTTACTTCCCCAAAAAGTAGGACAGTCATATCTCTCTGACATCGAGTGACAGAAGAGAGAACATGGGTGCCGCGCTTAGGAGGAAACAGGCGCTTAGTTAAGGCCACATGCTGGCCGCAGTGGGTGCAGAGACTTCTACCTCCTGGATCAGCTCCTGAATCAGCTCCTGAATGGGGCCGCCCCATCCCAGAGAGCTGGCTGACGGGCTGAGACTAGAAGGTCATTTCGGTAAACTGTAGCCTAGAGTGAGCAAAGGAACCCCTACCCCAAATTACACTCCCTGGGTCTCCTGGCTGCCAGCTCTGCTGTTCCTCTATGAGATCACTGAAGCCTGCCTCCAAGTGTCACAGGCCCCCAGCAGTGACCATATGAAGCTCAATTCACTATTCATTGTGAGGCCCTGGGAAGCTGGGAAGGTACCTTATCCCTCGGGGACAGGTAGGAAAGGCAGGAATGACAGGCTCCAGGGGCTTTTAGGGACATGCTGAAGCCTGTCTCCCTGTCTGTCTCCCTCCCTGTTGAGCACACACAGAAAAATGGCCATAGCCTGACCAGCTTGGGCCCCAGAAGCCAAGTAGACCAGCCTGGAGCCACAGGAAAGCCTCCAGTCTGTGGCTCAGCACCCAGTGCTGGGGCCTGGGGTCCCTTGTGGCCGGGTCTGTCTTTTCAGGTACCTAAGCTGGAAAACAGCCCTTACACAAATGCACCCACTCCTCCTCCCCCTCTTCAGGTCCTGCTTCTGTGGGTAGTGAGGGGTTCCAAGGATAGCAGAAGTCTTTTCCCTCTCTGCTCAGCCTGGGGTTGCTTCCAGACTCATCATCCCCTAAATAATAAAGCCTTGCTCTCAGACAGGGTTCTGCCCTTGGTGAACAATGTAGGACACGAGAGTCCAGATTCGAAAAGACACAGACAGGTGGGTTCTGGACATAATTTTCCCAAAGGCCTACCATTCTGGCTGAGTCCTTTTATTACTCTGTTCCCCAGTTTCTGAGCCCAGAATGTGGCAGGAGCAACAAGCAGACACTCACCCGAGACTTGATGGACCCCCAGGGATGGTGTCAAATCCCACCCCTCCCGCCCACTTTATGGCTGTTTTGTTTCTCCCATGTCCCTGTTCTGCCTCCATCTCCTCTGAAAAGAGGTGATGGAGGACAAGGACAGTTGCTCACCGAACTCCTAGGGTGGCAGTACTCCGGGGGGTTTCTGAGAGGAGGGACATGACCCAGGTGTAGAGGTTGGCCTCCAGGCAGTAGACACAACTAAACTAAGCTACAGGATCAGGGAGGAGGGCCTGGGCACTCCCAGGTGTCCAGTGACTATGGCTGCCACTGTCCCCTGAAACTTGTGGCCTAATCTGAGCCCTACCTCACTCTCCCCTAGAGCCAGATCTCCTGGCCTATTTCTGTAGAAGCTGGGGGCAGAGTTAGGACAGGGTGGAAACTCAAGAACCAGGCCCACAGTCTTCCCTTAGAGACTGCAGCCAAGCCTGCAGACCTGGGGTCAGATGGTAGGTAGGGCCTGCTCTGCCTTCAGTCCCTACTTGCTGTGCAACCTGAGGCAGTTTACTTTTCCTCTCTGAGCCCCCACCTAACCTCTACCTCTTAAATCTACAGGGGATTCTGGGAGAGCAAGTGTATAAAACACCTATGACCCAACAGGATCTCAACAAAGGGTGTTTCTTCTGGTCCAACTGGAATGGTCTACAACAGTGATGGTGAACCTTTTAGAGGTTTCAATGATCAAAAAAAAAAAAAAAAAAATAGCCTACTGTAGCACACCTGCCATAGGTTCGCCACCACTGGTCTAGAACTAGAAAGTCAAGTAGTGAGTTGTTAGACACTTGCATTATTCAAGTCCAACTTCCATAATCATTTGATAGGGATTTTTAAAAGAGAATTAATAGCAGCCAGGTATGGTGGCCCACACCTGTAATCCCAGCTCTCTGGGAGGCTGAGGTGAGTTCAAAACCCAGCCAGTGCACCTTAGTGACAGCAAGACTCTCAAAATTTAAATGTAGCTCAGTGTGAAGACCCTGGGTTCAATCCTCAGCACTCCCATAAAGGGGTGGTGGTGGTTAATAGGGCAGGGCTAGAGTGAGGTAAGAGAGAAAACTGGAGTGCAGAATTTAAGGGAGTGCCTCCCTCACCCCACTTGTCCTCCTGGGACCAGCGCAGCAGGTCTCAAAAGGTGAGCCTACAACACCTGAACTGTGGGCCTTGGGCAGGAGGGCTGAGCACTGGGCTCTGCACTCACTCACTCTCTGAACACAGGGAAACAGGAGAAGGCAGACCAGGGGTCTCAGTGGGCCCAGATGCTTCCTCATCCCATGAGAACCCAACAACCCCTCCCCAGGCCTGAATCCTCCTTTCCCTTACCATGCTGATTCTATCAGAACCCAGCAGTAAACCTGAAACTCCGCCTGCCCTGGCCTCCTGGGGCAGGTAGTGCTGCCTCCCAAGTGGCCCTCTGAGGGCAGAGAGTGGCAGCTTTAATGACTTGGGTCTATTTAAGCTGTGCCTGGAGTCCTGGGAGGGCCCCATCTCATGAACTTACAGACACACAAGTGCACAATTACCCAGCTGGCACAGGCCTTGGACCCCAAACACTCAGCTTGTAAGCTTCCTGGGACTGGGAGCTCAGCTCACTACCTCCCCTACACAGCCTAGTCCATGAAGCCTGGACTGGTCTCCCTCTAAGTTTCAGTGGTGCTAAGTCTCTACTGTGTAATGGTCCTGTGCTCAGCACTGGGGTCCAGCTGTACAGCTCGAAGCTCAGTCAGGGGAGACCAGCAGTGTGCATGCACCTGGAGAAAGGCAGTGCAGGAGTGACGAGCACCAGGAGAAAACTGAAACAGGGCAAAGAGTGTGTGTGGGACTGGTGCAAATGAGGTAGTCAGAGTGGGTCTTCCTGAGGAGGTGCAAATGGGGAAGTAGGGGTGTCAGAGAGGCAGCAGGATCTGGAATGCCAACCCAGGTTTTTCTGGCTCTTCATCTGAGCCAGAGGTGCTGATTCTAAGAAATCTGCAAACTTTCCTATGCAACACAGATCACAAAGGTGGCACAAAATGGCTCAGTTTTATTTTTTTTTAATTTTTATTTTGGTACCGGGAATCAAACTCGGGACCTTGCGCTTGCGAGGCAGGTGCCAGAACCACTGAGCTAAATCCCTGGCAAGGTGGCACAAAATGTAAAGGGCAAATGGTATAAGTGGTGGTGTGGCACCACTTCCCGGGGAGAACATGGTGTGGGGCTCCCCCCCACACACCATCTCTACCTGTCTGATGGAGGCTGTAGGGTAGCGTGGGGGATGGGCTCTCACGTGTCACCCCAGGAGTCCCCACATTCTTCAGTTCCCCCGAACCCCTCCCTGGTCCTCTTGGTAACTCTGGGTGATAGGTGCTGTGTCCTCAGCCAGCCATGTATGCAGCAGGGGTACAGGCTGCCCTTTGTGCGCTCATGGGTGCCTTGGAAGAACAGGTGTGTGCTGGACTTCCTGGAACAGGATGGGAGGTGCCACAGAGTGCTCTTGATGAATGAGGACACTAAGTCTTAGAGCAGGACAGCTGCTTAAGATTCCCCAGCTGGGACCCAACCCAGTTTTGCTACTCAGGGCCCCAGCTTGCCAGGGATAGAGTCCAGCATCGGCTCTCCCCCAACCCACCTCCATCACTTGTCATGGAGCAGTGTGTGCAGAGTGCAGGAACACAAAGGAGATGGCTCTGGGCCTTCCCAGCTCAGCTCCGAGGAGGCTCTTTGGAGGTTTCTCTGTCACATCAGAGGCCAGGCTCTGGCTTGGGTCCCTCAAGGCAGGGTCAAGGCCTGAACCATGTATGTAAATCCAGCCTCATCCCACACAGGGTTGCAGAGTGGACCACAGCTGAATGGGTGGACTGCAACTCCTCTGACTCGAGCTCCTGCCTGGCCTCATTCTCCTTGCTTACCTTCTGAATATCTGCTATTTAATGCCAAGTGCACTTGGCTAGACTGTTCCTTCCACCAGGAATGCCCTTCCCACTATCCTGTGTCCTGGAAAATTTCTATTCTTCCCTCAAAACCATGCTTTGGGGCCAGGGATTTAGCTCAGTGGTTTCGCCGCCTGCTGCGCAAGCGCAAGGACACGAGTTCGATCCCCGGTACCAAAAAAACCAAACCAAAACAAAAAAAAACCCATGCTTTGATGTCACCTCAGAATCTTCCTCTTCTGGGCCCCTCCTTGAATCAACTCCTAATACACTGACCACATTGTCCTGTAACCACTCACATATCTTCTTTCCCCCTTGGGCTAGTCCCGGGGCTACAGGTGTGCTCATTGACCAAGAGTACAACCTGCAACAAGGCAATTAAGCAAGATGCTATTCAGCGCCAGTTTCCATACTTGCTCTGGTCTTGGGGACCCAGGACACATATTTTTCATTCTGGAAGCTCAAAAACAACCCATGTGCTGATGCAGTGGCCATTTGAGGGATGGTTCTCTGATGCTAGGCAGTTGTTCCCAGTCTAAATAGCAGTGCTGTGCTTTCTTCATATAATTTGTATATACTTCTTCCTTTTGGGTTGTTTTAAACCTGAAGCAAAGACAGCATCTGATCTTAGAGCAACCAAGCTCATCTCTGGCAAATACAAACCCCTTTACAACTGTCCCCACAACGCAGCCCATTTCTTCAGCATCAATTGCAATGGGTGTTGGCATTTTTATATACGTTTAATTGTATGGCTTAGTATCAGAGCTGTGTGACTAGAACCACAAAGGTGCTTTCATTTGCATTTCCAAAGGTGTCTTAGTGCATACGTGTAGGAAGCCTCGAACTTTGGCCAGCAATGTGCCCTCTTCCCCAGCTGGAACCAGCTCTCTGTACCTGTTTGGGGTTCTCTGCCTGCCTGGGGAGCAGCCCTGGGCACCTGCCTTCCTGGTGCCTCAACCAGGCCTCCACTCCTCAGCCTCTCCACCAGGCCATAGCAGGCTGAGCAGCAGGGGTAGCAGGGGACAGATACTCTCTGTCTATGGTTCCTTCCATCTCCAGGGACTCTAAGGACAGGTGCTTGTTTCCTAGCGGGGGTGCAGGCTCCTTGCCAGCCTTGTCTCCCATGAAGTGTCAGGATGACCACAAGAGGGGAGGCTCAGCACTCAGAACTGTTGCCAGGAACACCCTGAAAACTTCCAGCACAGGTTCCTTGAATAATCACTACGAATGTTTGTTGAGGTGCACATAGCAGTATCAGGTAAATGCTCTCAAGGTGATAATAACAGCACTCAATGGCACCATTAAGGGTCTACTTTTATGCCATGCACTACGCATGCCTTTGACCTAAATCAGCTCATCTGATCTGCACTACTGTAAGAAGTTGGTACTTAACATTATATTGATAAGAACCTAGAAGTCAGAGAGGTCAAGCTACTTGTCCAAGGTCACACACAAGGGCTGAATGAAGACTCCTAGGGCCCAGGCTTCCAGCTGTGGGGGTGCACATGGATCCCCAGAGCCCCAGAAAGGACACTTAGAGGTGCAAGGCTTGCTGGGAGATAACTGAGAGGTCAGTTGGGCAGGAAGGTCATCATAGGCCTCTCCAGGCCGCAAATTCTCCCCATGGGATAGATCCTCAGCCTCCAACCCAGCAGCTCTATACCCACAGCCAGCTAGCTGTAAGCCTCCTGCTCTCCTCACCAGGAGCCTAGTGCCTATTAGAAGCCCCTACAATTTCTTCTATGGATGAAGCACGCGGATCTCACAACTGTGCAGTTCCTGTCAGGTTCCCAGGGTCAAAGGGTCCCACAGGTCACATGGCTGGCAGGAGTCAAGACCAGAGACACTTTCCATGGTGGTTCAGTACTCCCGATCAGCAGGCTGTCGGCAAAGTCCAGATCCCAGGCCTCTGCCTTGAAATTACTTCTGCATGGGAGCTGACCAGGTCATGCGGCATGTTTGTGTCAAGCTAAGTGACTGTCAGGCAAAAAGGTAACTCCTGGCCACCTGGCTGTCTGCCTCCCTGGACCCACTCCCAGCAACCTCTTCTCTGTCCCCTTGGGGCACTAGGGCTGAACTCATGGCCTCAGGCAGCAAATCTTAGAGCTGCCAGATTGTGCTTTTCAGGAGAGGCCTCTGTGATCCAGACAGGACCAAGCACTTTCCCTAGGAGGAACAGCAGTTCATAGACATAGGAAGGCTTTGTGCTTCTGGATACCAAGTGGCAGAAACAGGCATGGGAAGGGAACAGGCCTGGTGGGGGGGGGGCCCTCCCAGGCTCTACCTTAGATGGGCTCTGGACATGGCATAAGGGAGAAGGGTGCCCAAAGGCCAGCTGTGCCTGAAAATGGGCTCTGAGAGAGTAAGCAGTGTCATGGGAGGAGCAGGCATGACAGCCAAATTTCATGGATAGTTGGGACCAATGGAATTAATGTGGGAAGCTGGATAGCAACCAGCCCAGGCCTGTTTTCTAAGGAATGTTCATTTGAGGTGGGACCAGAGAGAGAACTAAGATCCCTGGAAGAGGTTTGGGTATCAGAGTTAGCCCCCAGTAGTATGCCCTCTGTCCCAGGCCAGGTGGCCCTCAATGCAGCCAGACACACACAGGCCGACAGTAAAGTTCCCCTGGCAGATGCTTAGGATCTAACAGCAGATATGGACAGCAGATACCTGGGGTCTGACAGGTACGCTGGTACTCCCCAGTCCCAGGACCCACAGGGAGCAGAGTTCCCAACCTCCAACCAGAACTCTGTCTCCATGTGCCTCTTCTGTATTTATAAACTTATGCAAGATCTGATAAACTAATCCTCAGCTGCCCTGGGCTTAATGATAATACCCAACATGGGTCCAGGGCTACTCTCTCACCCCTACCCGCACCCCACTGCAAGGGACCCAGAGCACAGCAAGGAGGAAAGAGGCAAACAATGGAAGTCAGAGTCAGTCACAGGGTCCAACCCAGAGGCACTACAGCCAGGCAGTGCCTTCACCTGCAGACAAAGGTTCCAAGTGCAGCCCCACCCCAAATCCCATTCACATGACTGGGGGCCTAGCCAAGCAGGTGGCAGACAGGTGGGGCTCAGGGTCCTTGACTGGCTCCCTGGTGCCAGTTTCCAGTCTCATGACACATGGCTTCTGACCCCTCTGTAACTCACTCCCAGGCCTCCAGCAGAGGCCCATGGGGAGCAGCCTTCCCCAATCCCTCACCCCTACTCTTAGAAGCCAAATAGTCAAGAGGTCAAGAATCAAAAGCATAGGCTCTGGTGTCCACAACCTGGATTCTGACTCCCAGCTGTGTGACTCTGGCCAAGTCACTTATTCTCTCTATTCCTCAAGGCCCTGATCTACAAGATGAAGATCATAAGTCTACCCAAATGATGTGGGAGGATTTATGAGATCATCAATACAGTGCCTGACAAAGAGTAAGTGCTCAATTAGTGTTCCCTAGCCATGTCATGATCTCCACCCCAGCCACCAGAGGGAACTTCAAACACACAACTTGAGCATGGTGGTCCCAGGCCCTTTGCCTCTGGCATCCAGTCTAACTCCCCATCCTGGTACTCAAGGCTGCCTGGATGGCTCTCAACTTTCATTCTTCTCAGCACACCTGGCCATCTCTCACCCCCAGTAGCCTCTCCAGCTCTCATCCAAATCACTAGCTCAAGTCTGGTAGAAGCTTCCAAAGCAGATTCGCGTTTCTAACCATCAATTCTCCTCCTAGAGCCTCATCCTATGAAACTCAGTAAAGATCTGGGTATCCTTGGGGAGTCCACTGCAGTAGTTTATGAGAATAAATCAACCTAGTTATCCATTGACAAGGGATCAAGTGGATAAATAAGGGAATCCAATTGTTCTCCAGCTGTTGGCATGCACAAAGCAGGATACAACCTGCTGCAAACCAATGAACTCTATTATAGTTTATAAAAAACACAGATTCATAGCTGGATTTGGTGATGCACACCTGTAATCCCAACACGCTGGGAAGCTGAGGTAGGAGGATCACAAGTTTGAGCCCAGCATAGGCATCTTAGTGAAATCCTGTCTCAAAATTAAAAATGAATAAATAAAAAGGGCTGGGAATACAGCTCAGTGGTAGAGTTCCCATTACCCAGTACCGTAATCATCATCATCATCATAATATAGATTCATGGTTGCTTGGGTTGGGGGATGAATGCGGTAACAAGCATGAGGGATCTTTCTGACATAATGAAAACGTTCTACAACTTGCTGTGGCCATGCACCTCAGTAGAGGTATAAAATCACTGAAGTAGTAAAAATCATTGAATGGTATATTTAAAATAGATAAATCTTTAAAAAATTGATAATCTTATGGTATGCAAATTCTTATTTTTCATTTTTCTTCTTTTATGCAGTGCTAAAGATCCCACATGCGCAAGGATGAAATAATCCCTCACATCATTAAGAAAGTTTAACTCTGAGTGTTGAGTTTAAGAAACTTATTTTTGTCACCTGCATTTTCTAATTTTCTACAACAAAAAAGTTGGGCTGTGTTATTGGGAAAAAGAACAGAAACTCTGAATAGGAGCTGAGAAAGCCTCAACCCTAGGGGCAAACCTGAGCCTCTGCCCCAGCAAGAAGTAGGCTATCTGGTCCTCAAGGGGCCATGTTTGTCCTCTCTCACAGACTGGGGCTCAGGAATAGCCTGGCCAGTAACTGCCCCCTACAAGTGCTGCCCCAGCCTGATAATGTTCCTATCTCTGAGCTCATGTGAAAAAGGTCTGCACCAGACCAGAGGCCTGGACACACCTCAGCTCCCCTGAGAAAAGTGCACTGCACCTTCATTTTTCTGGAGGGGGAAACTGTTGAGAGGACTTGTAGACTGAAAGCTCACGTCCTCCCAGCTTGGCCGAAGGGCCTCTCAGCCTGCACCCCCTGGGCCCAGTGCTTCAGGGCTGGTGGCTGAGTCAGTGGCAGGGCCTAGGATGACTGATGTGTCTGTGTGCCAACCCGAAAGTAGCCACAGACCCCATGGCTATGTGCATCCCGATTGTGAGAGCCCAGGCAGCTTATTGCTGTGCTCTTGGTCCCATCAACCAAGAGCAAGTTAGCCAGTGTTGCTACAATTCCTGCACAGTAACCATGGAAGGAAACTTTTCAGGGGGCTTTCCTTTGCCCTCTCTGGAAAGTGGAAGCAACAGGCATCTTAACTATGTGCTGCTGTCACCAGCCCCAAACCCTGAGCGGAGCAATGATGCTTAAAAAGATGTAAAGGGCCTGGGTGTGGCTCAGTGATAAAGTGTTTGCCTAACAAGCGGGAGCCCAGAGTTCTTTCCATCCCCAGCACCGCAAAAAAATAAAAGGTCTAAGAGGGTACCACTGCTTTGCTCCAACCTGGCGCCCACAAAGCCGGGTCCCCTCTAAACCAGTCTTCTCAGTCTCACCTTCTTTGCCTTCCAGTAACTCCTCAAACTGAGGCCTGCCTCAGGGCCTCTGCCTTGGAAAACATCTTTCCCTCCAGTCCCAAGGCTGACCCTTAGCTCTCAGCTCTAGTCAGCCCAAAGAGACCTCTCTGACACACCCCCGGAAGGAGCCACATCCCTGCCCCGCGCCAAACTGCAACGAAATATCCTTTTGCAGTTTCCTCGGAGAATTTTGTGCTTCCAAAGATTCAGGGATCCCGGGTCTGCCTGGGAACACTCAGGGCCTACCGAGACGGGTTGCTAACCCTGAGAACTGGACTGTGGGAGTGGGTTAGAGACAGACCCGTACGCATGCGCAAGAACTCCGGGGTTGAGCTGAACTCTCCGGCCGGAGGGAATGACCGCGAGTAACCCCCCGCTGACGTCACGGCGGGGCAGGGGTGGGGCCTCGGCGACGCCCGGGTCTCAAGCTCCAGCTTGGGCCGCCACAGGGCTGGGGACTCAACCGACTCATGACACAGACCTCAGGACGCCTGGGGACGCACGTGCTCTGGCCTGGAGCTGCCCGGGGACCCAGGAGAGGCGCGGCCCGGGAGAGCTCGGCCTCTGAGCGTGTGACCGACCGAGACACAGGGAAGCTCCGAGCGTGCACAGCACCGAGCTGCCACCCGCTCCACTGGGCCGCGAGCCGGGCGGGGAGACAAAAGCGAGTGCCGCCCGCGCCCCCACTCTCCTCAAGCCCAGCCGGCTCCCGACGCACCTTCGATGTCGGTCAGCAGCGCTGCGTCCAGCTCGCACGGCTCGGTCAACGCCTGCTCCAGAGCCGCCTCGTTGAAGGTCGGCTCGTCCATGGTGCAGCTGCCCGCGCTGGGTCCGCCCCGCGCACGGCCCTTCCCGAAGAGCAGCGCCGTCGCTGCTCACGCTCCCGCGTCCCGCTCTGGCCTCGGAAGTGGCCCTGCGCCCTCGAAAAGTTCCTCGGAAACTGGGTTCCCGGGCAGCGGCTCCACTGGGCGGACGAGACGGGGCGGGGCCTGGCGGGAGGCTCCACCCTGCGGGTAAACTTCCCCTCAGAGCCGAGGGAGCGCGGAGATCCCCGGCTTCCCTGATTGCAACGCGAACCTGTGCGCCACAAGTCCAGAGTGCCTTCCAGACCCTCGCCTTGTCAAGCCCCATGGCTCTGGCAGACCAGCAAGTGCTTGGGCAGCCACTGCCCCCCTCCAGCCTCAGTTTCTCTAACGTCGAGCAAAGGGGCTGAGTGGAAGCTATGGAACTGGGCCCATCCCAGAGGTTTCAGGACTTTGAGGGACCAGGGATGGGGAAAGGTGAAGGAGACCACCAATTTCTCTAGCAAGACCACTTCCTAGATTTGGTCCTTTTAGAGCAAAACAGACCGGGTTACACCTGACCCGGTCCTGCTGTGTGGCTTTGAGCTAATTTCCTCACCACTGTGTCTCTGTTCTCATCTGTAACAGGAGCCTAATGGGGCCTCTCCACAAGCAGGCTGGGAGGATGATGCCTGTGAGACCAACCAGTCCTCCCTGCATAGGAGCAGAAGAATGGTCTCCTGAAGAGGGTACTGGCCAAGGGGAATTTATTGCAGACTGGAATTGCCCATCTGTCTCAGTCTGATTTCCTCCCAGACCCACTGGGGGCGTGGGAAAGGAGATGGGGCCCTTTCCCCATCCCTGGTCCCTTGAAGTCTGTTAGACTCAAGCCAGGGTCCTCGAGGTCCAGGAAGACTTAGAGAAACAGTGATCTTCCCAAGGTCACTCAGCTACTCATAGACCACTGCAGGGTTGGGCCCCAGGGCTGTCTGATCTCACAGTTGGTGCGTGTTCCTAGGAGCCACCAGGACAAGGATCAGGAGGAAGAGAAAGACTGTACTTTAGACCCAAGCCAGGTTGCCCTGGCTTTGTTGCCCTGGATTGTGACAGGCTGGGGCAAGGCCAGAGCAAGCAGCCTATCAAGTGAACCCCGGGCCCTTTGCTTGGGGACAGAGCCAGAAGGGCAGGTGAGAGCAGTGGGGGCCCAATGAGGTGGATTGAAATAAACCAGATGTAACATTCAGTGAGAAGGCAGTGAGCTCCCTGTCACCAGAGGTCTTCAAGTGGAGAGGGGCAGTGTTGGGGGAGGGCAGCCAAACAAACCCAGAAAGGAGCTGGACTCCCAGACCTCAGAGGAGCTATCTTGGAGACAGCCTTGCTCAGATTCCTGATGGATACTGGCTGGCCAGGCGCTCTGAGGGAGTAAAATGAGCGGTACACTTTAGAAGGCAGGGGGAGGGGTGCTTGAATCAAGAGAGGCCACAGAAGCCCAACTCCCTGGGGCTCAGTGTGGACACGCAGTTCTCTTTGTTCCTCTGGCAGAAGTGACTGCTGTGGAAAATTACGGAGAACTGGGACTGGAGCCATGGGGGTCTCCAAACCATATCTCTCCTGAAAGTGGCCCTGGTCAAGCTTCCATCCAGGGCTTTGCCCTCAACAGACAAACTGGTTTTTTTGTTTTTGAGATAGGGTCTCACTAAATCACTAAGTTGCCCAGTCTGGACATGAGTTCCCATTCCTCCTGCCTCAGCCAACCAGACTGCTGGGATTATGGCATTACAGGCACGTGCCATCACACCAGGCTCCAAACTTCCATTTGGGAACAGTATAGCTGGCTTCTCCGTCCTCCTTTACTCCCCCTACCCTCATTTTCCACTATCCTGAGGAGATACCCAAGAGCCTCGGGAATTTGGGGACTCCCTGAAAATTCAAATAGCCCTTTGCAAGGAGAAGAGTAGGGTGGAAGGTGCTGGATAAAGCCTTAATACCACCTTTGTTCAGAATCAGATAGCTGATCTGATTCTTCACCTGCTTGCTGTGTGACCTGGAATCACTTCACATTTCTGAGTCTCAGCTGCTGTATCTGTCACTGCAAAAGCAGAGAGGGTGTTTTAGGGTCATCATCACAATAGATCTAACTCACTGTTCTGGAAACGAGTTTACCACATATGTAAAAAGCACTCAGGAGGCTGAGGCAGGAGGATCAATTCGAGTTCAAGGTCAGCCTGAGTTACATAGTAAGTTCAAGGCCAGCCTGCACTGCAAAGGGAGATACTGGCCCAAAACAAAAGAAAAGAAAACAAAAAAGCAGCATAGCTCAATAAATATGTACTCCATAGCTGAGAATTAGGCCAGAAGTGAAGAAGGTAAAGCAAGGTCCTCAGACATGTAGCCCACCAGAAAAGCCAGTTGAAACTGATGTCTGGCTGAAGCCCCCTCTGAGGCATAGCCCAAGGTGGGGTAGTCTTTGCAACGAAAACGAATTTTTACTCCAGGACAACTGTGAAGGTGGAAGAAGTCAGGCAATCTTTAGGGGAACTGGTTGTCTTGGTATTTCTCTCCCTCAAGGACCCCAAGACCTCTAAACAAGAATTCAGGCTATTGTGGGCTGGAGAGCTCTAAGCATGCTCAAGGAATGTCGGTTGTGACGTTGACAGCACAGGCCCTTCTGTCTTAGTGGGCCTGTTGCGCAGCAATTGGCACTGTTAACAATCACTGAGCTGGCTTCTAGCATGCCAAAGGTTTTCCTCCCAACAGCTTTATGATGACATGGCTGTTCTCGTCCAGTTTTGCAGATGAGTAAACTGAGGCAGAAAGGAAGTGACCTGCCTAGAGTCTCTTGGCGGTATTGCCCCAGATTGTGCCGAGGCTGACTGAGGCTGACTGACGGCTGCGCGTGTGGCCGGGGGAGGTCAAGGCGGGAGACCCGAGGGAGTTGGGGCGCAGAGCCAGCCAGTCCCCGCCCCCGGGGGCCGCCGCAGCCAATGGGCGCCTGGCTCTGAGTGGGGTGACGTACCGTCAGCGTCGGGAGCCGGGCCTTGGGTCACATGCTCCGCGCCGGTTTGACCTGGAGGTGGGGAGGCCGCGGCGCTGAGCCAGGTGGGCCTGACCTCTCAGATTTGCACCTGGCTGGGACTGCAGCCAAGTGCATGTCCTGACCCGGGATGGCCAGCGGTTCCCAGCTGTCGATACTGTGCGGCGAGCCTGGAGCCGGGGTTATGCCCGGTGACTCTGCCATCCCCACCGACCTATGTTCAGTTTACTGGAAGGGAGATAAGGTTCGCATCTGCCCGTCGCCCCCTATCGACTTAGAGACTAGGAGGCAGTTTCCGTTCCGAGTCATTTGGAGGGGCGCCCAGCGCCGGCAGGGCCTCTGCGGAGCTCAGTGTGGGTGGAAGGGCGGGCACACCTGTCCTGAAGCCCCCTGCCACTCCACCTAGGACCCTTTGTCCTTAACTGCTTCAGGAGCCAATTTGGGACCTGCCGGGGTCACAGGTTGCCAGGCAGTGAGAGGGGACTGTTAGGAGCTTGGTGCTACTGGGAGACCTTGCTTCCTCCAGTGTGTATTGTGGAGACCAGACTGTTGATCTGGGTGATTCTGGTCCTAGGTGACTCTGGTCTACTTCCAGTTGGGTTTTTGTGTGTGGTTCCTCTGCTGTGAGCTGGGCAGGTGCTTTCTAGCCTTCTCTGAGCATCCATAGCCTACTTTCCCTAAGGAGACTCATGCCATGGTGGACCTCTCCAGCGCGACTTGAGTTCATTACCTGGTAGATAGTTTTCACTTTTTAAAAGTTTTTTTGGTACCGGGGACCGAACTCGGGTCCTTGCTCTTGCGCAGCAGGGGGTGAAACCACTGACCTAAATCCCCGGCCGCATTACCTGGTAGATAGATCCTCCTCGAAAGGCCTGGCTGAACCCTGAAGCCTGCTGCACAGCACTGCTGGGTGAGGTTCAGACTGAGACAATGAAGGAGGGGACAGCTTTCCCCTGGGTTATTGGGTTAAGGCCCAGTGCAGACTGAAGGGGAATCAGAACAGGCAGGGCCACTTGGTGGCGGGCAGAGAGCACCCAGGTAGCATCTGACTTCCACCAGCCAAATCTAGTCAAAAGAAAATTTGAAAGTTGGATTGCTGTTTTTTTGTTTGTTTGTTGAATGGGACTGGGACAAACCTGGACTTGACTAATGGTTTAACTTTAACCAGGGCTGTAGGCATTTTCTCCAGCCCCCCACTTCCTGGGTCACACCCAGCCTTTTTTTTTTTTCAGTATATGTAAGTCTGCTCTATCAGTGTCTTAGAATATTATCAATGTCTTTTTTTTTTTTTTTTTTGGTACCGCGGATAGAACTAGGGACCTTGTGCTTTCGAGGCAGACACAGAACCACTGAGCTAAATCCCCGGCCCCAGGCTACTTTATTCTTTTATGAATTAGTCCAACTTTGTGGGTACTGGGTTGACCACCCAAGATTTTGTTTTAAAGAAAGTGAGGACCAGTGACTTACCTAGTTGCACCATTGAAGCCCCCAGACAGCTGCTCTTAGAGTAGGTTTGGGAGGAAATGATCCCATATAAAGGAGCCCACTCAGCTTCCAGAAACAGCTTCCAGTTCTTAGTGCTGGGAGTAGAGGGTTTGCTACCTGGGATGCTTTGGCCCAGCCTTGGAGCCTAGACAACCCCTTGGGGATGCCAGAAATCTCTGACCATAAGCCAATGAACTTTCTGAGTAGGTTGTGCCTAACCAGAGTCTTTGATTCTGCCTCTCCCAGGGCCTCAAAGGAGGTGGATAGCAGGCTCCCTCTTCCTCAGGTGCTGCAGAGGGGAGACTAGTGGGCAGGGGCTAGGAGGTATTGCAGGACCCCAGCTCTGCCACTGTCCCCTCCCAGATTTCTGGGGAGAGAAACTGAAGGTGGGTCTCAGCTCTTTTCCAGGCTCCAGTGACATGACCAGAAGTAGCCAAGGCCAAAGAGGGAGCACTGAGGGAGGAGTCTAGGTGTTTGTCTCTGTCCAAGTCTGTCTCTCACTCCCATCTCTGGCCCTCTCCATCCACGATGCAGCAACCACCCATTGTCATATTTATCCAGATTTCATATCCTTCCTCTGCTAATGGCCTGATTTTTAAGAGTTCTTGGACTTTTATGAGAACTGTTAGGAAAGAGGCACCATCTCCTTGCCAGTAGAATGTCTGCCTGGACTGCAGGTAGCCTGCAGTTACCAACATGGAAAAGCTGACCCAAAGGAAGCAGAGCCAAGACATACAATGAGGTAGATTCCAGACTAAATCAGTAAGCTCCTAGAACCAGCTATTCCTGAAGCTGATTTCACTTACATAAACCAATGAATTCCTCTGATTGGACAAAGCAATCCTGATACTACTTAACTATTCCATTTTCTGAACTTCTTATTCCACAGAACCCCTCCTTTTTAAAAATAGCTATTAATGGCTGGGGATTTAGCTCAGTGGTTCCACCGCCTGCCTTGAAAGCACAAGGTCCTGAATTTCATCCCTGGTACCAAAAAAAAGAATAGCTATTAATGTATTGGGGAAATGCATTTTGGCAAGTACCTGCCAAGGAAATGAGGTCCCTCCCAGGAGGCTGGTCAGCTGAGTCAGTTTCATGGCCCATCTACCCCCACCCCCATGGCTGGCCTTCCCACTGCAGCTACTGCTGATTGTGCTCTGGTCCTTGACTATTCCCTGCAGGCCATCTAAGAGGGCTCCAGTACTTCCTGGCTGCAGTGTCCTCAATTCTGGGAACTCAACCAGGCTGTGAGTTGCCTAAGGGCAGTGCCTGAACAGGCCTTCACCTCTCCTGTGGCACTGACTTGGCACAGAGCAGCCAGTGAGGAACAGACTGAAAGCACAAGTGGACCACTGTCCTGGTGAGTCCGTGGTGGACTCCAGGATGACCTACTCTCCACAGGGCAGGGGCATGGCTTCAGTCTCAGGGCTAGGGGCACAGATTGGGCTCAGGGTCTGCAGTGTCTGTTCAGAGGGCCCTGAGTTGTGGGCCTCTCCCACTTCAGAGACCTGCTCCCTAAGGCCCCCATTGTGGGGGAAAACTCACTAGCTCACCCCAGCTGACCAGAAACGTGCAGGACCTCCACGAAACTCCCTGGAGCCCAGGTGGCAACTGGCCCCAGGAAGCTAGGGTACTGCTGCTTCTGGTCTGGGATGGTGATGGGAGGTCCCAACATGGCCCATCCTCTGCTATGGGCCCACCCATCTTTTTGCTAGGGCCCTACCCTGCCGTACCAGGGATTGAACTCAGGACCTTGCCCTTGTGAGTTGGGCAAGGCTGGGCCCACCCTTCTAACAGCAGTGAGGGAGCCCTGTCCTGAGACATCTGTACAGAAGTCTTCACCTGCCAGCCTTGGAGGTGGTGGCCTTCCTACCACTCTGAAGGTGCTGGTCTGGGAAGTGAGAGTCTGGATCTGAATGCTGGTTCCACTAACCCCCATGCTGCTAAGTTTACTTCTCTTCAGACATCACTGGCAGTAAGAGGCTGGGTAGATGTCTCCATGTTCATTCCAGGTCCACTGGGTTTGATACATCTACCCCACACATCTGTTACAGCTTGTATCTAAATGGCCCCCCAGAGCCTCATGTGCTCATAGGTGGGGCTTTTTTGGAGGTTGGTGGATCTATGGTGTGTTCTGCTGGGATAAAGAATATGATGCTGGGATTAATTCATGGTGTAATGGTAGGATTAAGAGTGTGAGTGCTGCCTGCCCTAAGGATTTGTAGCCTGGGTAAGATAAAAGGTACAGAAAGAGGGTCTCTGCTTGTCACTCGTCACTTGCTGCCTTCTGCTTGCCATGATCTATTTCTCCTCTGTGATGCCCATGCCATGCCACCCTGACTTGGAGCCAGCCAAATATGAACTGAAATTTCTACAAACTGTGAGCCATTTAAACCTTTCCTCCTCTAACTTTGGATGTTACTTTGTCTCAGCAACAAGAAAAGTAACTAAGATAACATCCATCCTCAAATCCCCAGAGATGAAAGCATTAAAGGGCTCCCAGCTCCAGGCCACTCAAGCAGGCACAAGCACTCCAGGCTTCCACAATCCAGGCCAGCTGAAAGGCCTGCTTCCAAGGATGGAGCTACATGTGCAGGGAAGCCACCTTGACAGTACAGTAGCAGAGGAGGAACCCTTTTTACACGGAGAGTAGGTCATGGTATGTGAAGAAACAAGTTCCTTTTCATGGGATGAAAATGTTCAAAAATTGATAGGATGGTTGCACAACTCTGAGACTGCATCTAAAACTACTCACCTGTACACTTTGTATTTTGTAGTGCTAGGGAAGGAATCCAGAGCCTCACTTATCCCAGGTAAGTGCCCTACCACTCAGTCACACCCCCAGTCAACTGTGTACTAAGTGGGTAAGTGTGTGATGTGAATTACATCTCAATAAAAGTTATCAGAAAGGTGCAGGTGATGTCTACCTGGCTTGGAGCAGCCGCTCTCAAATCCAGCACCTGGTACAAGCTCTGTGGAAAATTCTAATACCAAACAGTGGAGCCTAGCTTAGGAGGGGATGGGGGGGTGGGGCGGGGAGGCGCTCAGGTCTGCTCATCCTGGGCAAGGTAAGTGGCCTTTCCGTACCTATCTAGGGGTCAGGATGAGACCCAGGAAAACAAACTTCACCTGGTCCTGGGCTCTCGGGTTGGTGGGCACACTCATGGGTGCTGCCACTGATGCCCAGCCGCCAAGGCCAGGGATCTTCCTGGCCTAGCATTCGGGCAGCAGGAGGAGGGTGGAAACTGGGTCCCCCAGATGGTCCTTCCTGCAGGGCCTCCATGGCAGCCCCTGCTTAAAGAAAGCAGTTGGTCCAACATGGAAAGCCCTTTGGATGGTCATAGCCAACTCAAAAGAGATCACACAGGAAATGGTTTGTTCAATTATTCATTTATTGTGGAGTACGTTACATGCAAGAACCCAAACTAGAGAGACAGCATCTGGGAGAGCCAGTGAGGTGGGGAGACACTCTGGGGTCACTCTGAGCCGTATAAGCACTGACCCACCCTCCAGAACCAGCTCTGGCCACAAAAACACACGACAGTGACAATAACACCAGACTTCTGGGACAAGGGGACAATGAACTCAAAACATTCCTCTTTTCAGTAGCCCCCAATGACCCTGAGAACCCTCACAAATTAAGTGCAAACTTTAGGAAATAAAGTATCTGTTGCTTACTCTCCAGGCGAGCATGGAGGTTGGTTTGGGACACTGACAGAAGCAGTCATAATGCAGGGTTGACAGCTGTTCCCAAGGCTAGTGGCTGCAGGGGAAGCCTAGTTTGGGCCTCCATGGCCAGGAAGGGCTGGAGATGGGCACTGGGAAAGGCAGATCCTACAGGGCTGACAGGAAGCATCTCTGGGGTAGAAACACATTCCTTTATGTGTGGGGGAGACAGGCTTTTCTCCCGTGTGGCTGAACATGGAGGAAGAGCCCAAGTATCCCAACAGAAGACCATGGAGAGGCGCATGGGCCAACTGGGTAGTGCAAGGGCCATAGGCAGGCTAGCACTAGTCCATGAGCTCTTCCCAAGCAAGGGCTGGCCTGGTCCCAGAAGGCCTATGGTCTACCCTACACCATCCAGAAGGCTGGGCTCAGCAGGAAGGGTTAGGATAGGAGAGGAAGGAGGAGAAGCAGGAGCCTTGTTGCCACTGGCCCATTCCTGGACACCAATCCCTCAGCATAGGAGTAATGCCAGGTCCTCACTCCCAAGGTGCTGCAGTGATAGCACAGGCCCGAGACCACTGGGTGGGGAGAAGCGCAGGAAGCCAAGAAGCCACAGTCACAATAAGTGGGAGGACAAAAAGACAGGACAGATGGATGGTCACCTTTCCCTCTGGCCCAGGCCAGCTATAAGCCCTTTTGGCTCCAAAACCTCCTTTGGAGTCTGTGTCCTATGCACACTGAGAAGCAAGCTGGTCATTAGAAGCCCAGCTGCAGGCCACTGCTGGGATCCAGGGCAGAATGTATGTGGTGCAGTTCACTGCTACCTGCTGGCCAGTAAAGTGGGCAGGAAGAATTGATGAGCCTTCACATCTCAGCATATACAAACACAGAAAAGGGTAAACATATCCCCAAGAAATTTTTTTTTTGGTACGGGGATCAAACTCTGGTCCTTGTGCTTGTGAGCCAGGCAGTGGAACCAATGAACTAAATCCCCGGCCCCCCAAGAAAATATTTTGACAAAATAAATATTTTAACTTATGATCAGGTATAATTAGTGCTTATGAGGAATCCCAACAATAATTTAGTGTAATTAAGTATATACTGTATCTGTGATTTCTAACACTTGTAGAGGCTGGTGGCTCATGATGTCCAGCTTTCCCATCAGACCTCTGCTCCTTCCCTAGGCAGGTTGCCTGAGGACTGTGCCCCAGATGGCAGGACAGGAACCAGAGGCCTCAAGATAACATCCCCACACTTGTGTCCAGTGCAGGCCTCACACCTGTGTCACCTCAGCCCACAGGAGTCCTCCAGTACCTGCTGCCCACAGAGCAGCCAAGTCTTTCCAAGCCAGGCCAACCTGCCGGGGCTTGGGGACACTGAACACAGGTACTAAGAACACTTTGCTGGGGACTCCCAGGAGGGCACCTACCTCAGCCTTGCTCACAGCAGATGCCCCTCTTCCTCTGTGCCATCCACAAGGCAAGGCAGTTGGCTTTTTCCTCAGGATGCTAGGCCTGGCCTACCACTACCTACAGGCCCAGCTCTGGCAGACAGCAGAGGCTGGGCACACCTGGGCCATCCCAGCCACTTCTCTGCAGCTAGCTACCTCAGGGCTCTGCCTTTCCAAGAGGGTGAGGAGGGCACGAGCTGCCTGAGGGCTAAGGAGTACAGAAGGCAGGGCAGGGAAGGAAGCAGGGTGGCCAAACTCTGAGGAGGTGCTTCCTGGGTATTCTGTGGAATGAATGTGACATCCCTGCTATCTTGCAGATGGTCCCAACCAAACCAGTCCTCCTTTCTGGAGGGTGCTAGGCTGGGCATAGAGTCCTCACCACAGCTCTCACTGTAGTCCTGGTCCTACATATGTCCCTGAGCCCAGTCACTAGTCATTTCACAGTGGCCTTTCTCTGCAGGGCTGGTGCCCTGAGGGTGACAGGCACAACACTAGGCCATTTTACACAATGGGAGGGAAAACTCTGGTGATGTGGGCAGTGGGTGCTGGAAGGGCAGAGGCTCAGCAGGGTGATGTGGCAGCACGTTCCTCATCCTGGGTAATGGCAGCTTGGGGCAAGAAGGGTTAGCTGGACCAGGGCTGGAGTAGTGCTGTGAGTTCCTTGCCCAGGGCTAGAAGACACATCAACGAAGACGGGACAGAAGCAGATGTCACCAGCCCCCATCTGTTCAGCCTTGGGCTGTGAGTCTTCAGGATCTGCAAATTGGTGGCTGGGGTCATGTGAGATGTCAGGTCACACTGCCCATGGTGGGTCTGGGGCCCTTGCCAGGGAGAGGTATGGGGCCTTAGTGTCACTCTGGCCACTTGATCCTTTGGAACCTCCTGGTGTGGTACAGAGCTGTCTGCTGCTGGGCCTAGAGGTGGTGAGTGGAGGCCACTGCAGGCAGGGCCAGCTTGGATCACTTTCCTAAGCCAGCAGAGCAGCACCTCTGTGCAGGCCTCTCCACACAACAGGGCCAAGGGTAGCTAGCTGGAGTGTGCAGGGTGCAGCTGGGTTTATGTTAGTGCTGCCCTCCCAACTGCACTGGGCTCTTCCCACACCAGGAGCTGCAGGTCCTCTGAGGCCCCTCAGCTGGGCCTGGCTGCCCAGCCAGCCAGAGTAGGAGGTCTGGGTGAACAGCTGACTGATGGAGAGAGGGTCAAGAACACAAGAGACCCCCATGTGGGCACCCTACAGAGCCCTCTAAAGTGCCAAGACAATATGTGCCATGAGGTGACAGTCCAAGGAAGAGTCTGAGCCCTGCTCTTCCAGAGGCAGAAACACAAAGCCATTCTTGGCAGAAGGATACAGAGGGCAGCAGGCCGGAGGGAATCCACTGAGCCAGGCAGAGGTGGCACATTTGTGGGCATGAGTGGCAAGCCAGGGCCTGACCCCATTCTCTGTGGGTGGGTGATGGAGGAGACACTTCAGGTGGTCTGCTCAGGAGCAGTGTCAAGGGGCTACTCTGCCTGGGCTGGGCAACTGCTCTTCCTGGGAGGACAAACAGCCAAGGGAGCCTGGGGGAGGGAGAGACAGGGCCTCTGGCTGCAGTGTGGCTGTCCCACCACCCAGAGAAGGAAGGTGGCAAAAGCTGGTCCTGACTAGGGGAGCAGATGCAGGTGTTTCCATAGCAACACAGGTGCACAGGCCAAGGGTGAGGGGCAGGGAGAATGGCCAGTGCCCAGTGTCCACAGGGAGCAAGCATGACCTGCCATCCACAGAGAAGACCACAGAGCAGCTCACAGGGCAAAGAGGGCATCCTCTGACCGCTCGGGCTTCTTCCGGCCAGAAGGATTGGAAGCTGGGGTGGGAGCCTCCACAGGGGGTGATGGGAGGTCAGGGACCATTTCAGCGGCCTTGGCTCTTTCTTCCAGGAACTTATCAAACTCTGCAATACAAACCAAAGCAGGGACAAGGGCTGATGAGGATGCAGCCCAGCTGTCCCACAGGGTCACTCCAGTACAAGCCCACATATCTCCCAGCTCTGCCTGCACCCACTGTGGGGCTGATGAGGGGAAAGCTGTGGTGGCAGGGTGAGCATCCAGCTAAAGCACGGTGTTTCTGGGGACCTGTCTCAGGAAGCCTCCCCCTCAGTAGTTTTCTCCTCTACCATCTACAAGGCAAGTGGAAACCCCAGCTGGATGGCCGGGGAGGGCTCTGTGTACTGCACTGAGTGGTGTGTTCTCCCAGTGATGGGGAAGAAGATCTAGCAGCTCGTGGGCCCTGCAGGGAAATGCTCTGGAAACAAGAGCACAGGATACCTGCCCCACCAAGGTCCAAAGTTCAGTCCCTTTCCAGATTAGTGTGGGGGGCAGGCCAATGAGAGCCTGGCACCCCTACAGAGATGTAGCAGGGGACAGCCCACTGCTCCCATAGCAGGGCCAGAGGAGCCACTGAGGAAGGGGGCCACCCAGAACAGAGGCCAGGGCCCCTGACAATTCCCTGCCTGGGCCTTCTGACTATAGAGTCTGGCAGATTTTAAGGGGGGAAGGTACCAGGAGGAGTAGGCACAGGAGGGGAGGGGCAGGGGATGCAGCAGAGCAGGCAGGGCCCTTGTTGAAGAACTAGGCCCACTGCTCCTACCTGGCCCATCAACTGAGGTCCAGGCTGGTGCTGTTCCCTCCAGCCCAGCCTCCCACGTTCCCTGTAGACCTCTGTGGACTGGGTGGCTTGTGCCTGAGATAAACTGAGTACCCAGAGGTTGGGACCTGGGATGGCAATCTGTACCCACTAAGTCAACATGTTCTTCCTGACCTCCATTTCCCTTTAAACAAAATGAGAGAAACGACACTCCCACATTAGCACAAAGTTAGACTGAGCCCTCATGAAGTCACGGCTCATGTTCTGGCACCTGAAAGGCCTCTGACAGCAGAGGCCCCATGGAGACAAGGGGTCTCTATGGGACCCCAGAGCCTGGGATGGGAACAGCAAAGGGAGCTGCAAAGCCACTGGCCAGACCATACCTTCACTTGTGACACCCTCTTCCAGGTCGTCACCCTTCTGTGGGAGGAGCAGACAGAGCAGTGTTAAGGATCATCAGGCCTCACCCACCCAGCCACCTCTGCCTGCCCACGGCCACCCCAGGTTGGCATTGCCAATGGGACCTCAAATAAACTTCCTGTTTTTCCCTCTTTCTAGATTTTTCTTTCTTTCTTTCTTTTTCTTTTTTTTTGAGACAGGGTCTCTCTATGTAGTTCAGGCTGGCCTTGAACTCACTATGTAGTACAGGTTGGCCTCAAACTTAGGGTGATCCTCTTGCCTCAGTCTCCTGAGTGCTGGGATTACAGGCACATGCCACCACTCCCAGCTGTTTCTAGACTTCTGTAACAGCAAGATAATGCTCTTTTCATTAGAGGAGAAGAAATTTTGTTTTGTTTTGTTTTTCAGAAGCAAAACCAAAGAACCAAACAGACTCTAGGTTTTGATCTCCCAGGAAGAAAAATCCAAAATGATGCAGTCACATTCTGGGGAAAGGCTGGGTGACCACAAGGAGGCTGAGCCTGTAGTGTACCAGCGACCCCGAGGTCTGCTCCTCTATGCCACATCTGCTCACTACCAGCACAGGGGTAGTGGGAAGACACTATCCACACTGGCACCTGGCAACGGTGTGGGGCCTGGATGGCCCAGGACTGTCACCTAGAAGGTGTTTGGGCAGGGGAGGCTCTGCCAAGTGTACCAGGCCTTTCCTTTGTCCAGACTCCATCCTGCTGGTCCCAGAAGGGGCCATGCAAGTTCTATGGGAACTAATCCTGCTTGGTTTTGCTTAGAGGGGCTGCCTGAGGAAGACCAGCACATGTGAGGGTTGTATTAGGAAGGGGATAATAGGGAGTGAAAAGCCTCACACTGGCTAAGAGGCTTGGGTCCTTTCCCAGCCCTCCCTGACCTGTGGTATAGCCTTGCTGGACAGGTTCCTTCCTCTTTCTGGGCCTCAGGGCTACCTTATAAAATGAGGGCCTTGGCCTTCCAGGCTTTATTTCTTTTTAAAGCATCCTCTTGGCTAAGACACCAAGGGGCGTTTTCTTCCCCTCCTGGCACCTGGGTGGGTACCTCCATTGGCAGTGATGTTTTTGGAAAGCTTGAGCTTCCCGGAAAGAGGCAGTAAGACACCCTGACTGGAGGCCTGTGGTCCTCGCGTGGGAGGGGTTCAGACCCCAGCCCACAAACAGCCAGGCTGACCCTGTAGTTAAAGCAGCCAAGAGGTTATTCTGCTCTGGGGACAGGATTACCCTGACAATGCGCAGCCAGGAGGAAGAGATGAGGTGTCTCCAGATCTGGGGGAGAATTCAATAAGCCCATTACCCAGGGAAGGACATCTCCCCACCAGAGTACACTTCTCCACCAGCCACTGGGAAACCGTCAAGACAGCTGAAAAAGCTTTGTGAGGAACAAAGGGAGGAGCCCATTACCATTTTCAGACCATAATATCCTCAGCTGTTTGCACTGTCTTATAGAATGGGGACAAGAGTCTGTGGGACAAGAGTCTATAAATCCAAAATACTAAAAGCTCCTGGGAAGGGAGATGACAATGAATTTAAAACAAAACCAAATACCCAACTCATCTGTGTATACTTCACAATAAAAATAAAATAGAAAGATAGAAATGAGGGCTGGGGATGTAGCTCAGAGGTAAAGTGCCTGCCTTGCAAGTGCTAGATTATGAGTTCTATCCCTAGTATTGAAAAAATAAAAATTTAAAAATTAAATTAAAAAAATGAAAACCAAAAAAAGTAAAACAAACAAACAAAAATAGTACTCCCCCATTCCCAGATCCCAAGAACACACATGCCCTTGAAATTGAAAGGAAGCTGAGGAGGAGGTGTGTTGGGACTTGGCTGAAGCTGGGTTCCCACAAGCAATGAGATGTCAGGCAGGGACCTGCCCACACTGCAGTACTGCGCAGGTGATGAGTCTGTGCCCCCAGGCCCAGGGTCCGCTGTAGCACTCTTGCCCCTGGCTAAGTGCTGGAGAAGAAGGAGAGCTGTGAAGAGCTGGTGGCCAGAGCAGCCACACCTGCCCTCCCCCCCGCCCCCCACAACAGAGACTCGGCCCTGCAATGTCCTGAGGCCTGCCCTCAGAAGAGCCTCTGCCTTGCCACACCCCCGAACACAAAATATAAAAGTCAAGTCTCACCAGGTCCGTCCTGAGCCACACCTCAATGTCGTCCATGACAGAGGGCTGCGCAACGGGGATCTATGGAGGCAGCAAGCATCAGGGCCACGCAGCCCCCACAGCCAGGCAAGGGAGACAGAACACCGGAACAAAGTAAATCATCAAAAGCAACCCCAAAACAAAATCAAAATGCACACAGAGCAAAAAAACACAATTGGCATGACATACAGAGGCACACAAGGGAAGCCTTGTGAAATAGCAGGTGAGGAAAGCAGTGAGTGGCAAATTATAAGAAGCACAGCTAGCCGGCAGGGGCCGGCAGCAAGGGAGGTGGCAGTACGAGTTCTTGAGATGGATAACTTTTTGACTATGTGTCCTTGTCCTCATGTCACAGGGTCTCTTGGCCTAGGGCTGCAGAGATTACCTTCTTTTTTTTTTTTTTTTTTTTTGGTACCGGGGATCAAACTCAGGAGCTTGCATTTACAAGGCCGGTCTGCAGAGATTACCTTCTGATCTCAGTAATGTGCCAGGCCTGCATTTTGATTTTGAACTCATCAGCCATGACAGCTCTTTGACTGCCCTCTGTCAATCCCAATCCAGGAGGTAAGGCAAGGAGCCAGGAGTGGCCCCTGATGCTACCAGGACAGCCAAGAGGCAGCCTGCCTGACCTGGGGTAAAGGTGGTCAGGAGGGCAGGCAGTGCCAACCCAGAAGCCATCTGGGGCTCCATCTGTTCAGCTATATACATTACACAAGGCACCCAGGCACATTTTGGAAGTGGGGAAGGCAAGCTGAGTGTGTGTGCTCCATCAGCCTGGGTGCAGCTGGTTGACAGAAGGCAGGCAGGCTTCAGCATCAACAAAAACACGGCCAAAACCAGGGCTTTAAGGACAAAAGGGACTGTGGGGCTTTAGTCTTCTTTGTGTCTCTTTAGGGGAAACAAATCACAGCAGTCCTGACACAACAGCTTCCTTTAGGCTCATCCTTTCTCCCAGCTCTCAGTGGCTGGCTATGCTTCAGCAGTGAAGGAACAGAAATTCGCTGAGGTCTAGGGAGCAGCAGCCAGGGCTCCCCAGCAAACTTCATGAGTGTCTGAGCAGCTGCCACACCTGGGCTGCTCATGCCAAGTGTCTCAGGAGCAAAGGTTCTGAAAAATACACGTGGCTAAAAATCTTTACACTGTTGTTTTATATGATATAAAAAGTGGAACTGACCTTTAACCCCCTAGAAGCCATGTTAAACAAATGTTGGCTCCCAGCCTAGACAAGTGGCCTGCCTCCTTAACTACCCTGGGTCTGGAAGGTATCTTCCAGGGACTCACTTGGTAGCACATTACTTCTAGAAAAAAAATGCTAGCACTATGTCTATAGTTAACTATACCCTCAATGACACATCTAGAGAAAGGATAAAATTAAAATAAGTAGTAAGAGGACTGTTACAGTCTTAACTATGTCTAAAAAATATCAGGACTTTCACAAAGGAAAAGAGCCAAGAATTCGTATCACCAGACCTGAAGTGACAACTCCAGTCAAGGAGGTTGACATCTGCTGTCCACGGAGGTTTGATGCACACAGGTGGAGCTCACCATGCTGAGCAGGAGTCTGCAGAATCTCCTCTGTCGCCTAACTTCAACTGAGCAAGGGCAGCCCCTCAAGCAGCTTTAGGAAGGCTCAAGCTAAGGGCTGTGGTCAGTGGTAGAGCACATGCCAGCATGCTCAAGGCCCTGGGTTCTATGCCCAGTACCATTAAAATAAAATTTTAAGCTGGGGATTTAGCTCAGCGGTTCCAGCGTCTGCCTTGCAAGTGCAAGGTTGCAAGTTCAATCCCCGGTACCAAATAAACCAAAAAAAAAAACAAAATAAAATTCTAAAAGAGAAGGGAAGAAAGAAAAGAAAAGAAAGAGAGAAAAAGAAAAAGAAAAAAAGAAAAAGAAAAAAGAGAAAGAAAGGCTCAAGCTATCCTACCCACCAACCAGGTAAAGGACTAGCTCTCTATGTTGCCATTTTATCCCTTAGAGTTACTAGGGACTTCAGATTGTGGAATTTAAAAAACTTCAGGTAGTTCTTATCATCCTGACATAAATCTTAAGAACAGCACACATATAACTCATTCGGAGTGGGGACATGAATGCTTGATGGCTGTGTCAACCGTGCCTACGTTGGGTACCAACCTTCCCTGCCAAAGAGCGGCAGGGCACAGCGGGTGCAACCTGCTATCTGATGCTTGCTGGCAGATTTTTTGCCTTGACATGTTCCTGGCATAGGACATGCCAATTTTCATGATCTTGATGCCTATAAGTCAGGATTCCTGGCTCAGGAGGGATGTATACCATGCCGAGTCCCCAGCCTTGAAGCTCAGAAAGTCAGCTGCTTTTTCAAAGAGAAAAATCAACCACAACAGCTGCCAGAGCTGTTTCATGTATATATCCAGCTTCAATCCCTCTAGGAGAAACTGAGGATCCATGTACTGAGTTTTTCCTCTCCTCTTCTTCCCTTCTCTCTTCTTTTTCCTCTTCCTCTTCTCTTCTGTTCTTCATTCTCTTGTCCTGAGAATGGAACCCAGGGCTTTGCACATGCTAGGCAAGTGCTCTACCACTGAGCTTTTCATGTGTTGCCAAAGCTTGAAAAAGAAGCCATGAAGGGGACATTGGCCTAAAACCATCAGCCTATTCTTGCAGTTTTCTAGTTACTATTTTAAAAAATAGAGCACTGGGAATATTGCTCAGTAGTAGAGTACTTGCCCAGCGTGCACTAGAGCTGGGTTCCAGCCCTATACATAAAAATCCATTCAACCATCCATCCATCCATCCATCCATCCATCCATCCCACTTACCCACCCATCCATCTATCCCTGGGGCCTGGGATCAAGCTCCAATTTCCTTCTTTGATTATTAATCTGAAAGCCAGTCCATGCTAAATATTATCATTATGCACTGCAAACATGTTCTAGTAAAAAAAGAAAAATCTTGAGAGCCAGATGCTCAGAAAACAAAACAAAATAAAACAAAACATTGCAAGATATAGTGCTGCAAACCTGTAATCCCAGCTACTTGGGAGGCTGAGACAGGTGGACTGCAAGTTCAAAGCCAGCATGGACAATATAGTGAGATCCTGTTTCAAAATAAAATAAAAATTTAAAAGAGCTGGGAAATATATTCAGCAGTACAGCACATGCTTGGCATGAGCAAGGCCCCGGCTTCAATGCCTAGGATTGCAAAAAATCAGTCAATCAAAAAAAAAAAAAAAAAAGAATCAAATCAGGGCATGGTAACACGTGGCTGCAATGCCAGCAATCAGGGAGATTAGGGCAAAACAATCACAAGTTCGAGTCCAGCCTGGGCAACTCAGTGATTTAGCAAGACCCTGTCTCAAAATAAAAAATAAAAAGTGGGTCGGGAGGTAGCTCAGTGTAAAGATTCTATGAGTTCAATCCCTGTTACTGCAGAAAGAAAGGAAGGTGGGGAAGAAGCAGGGATGGAGGGAAGAAACACTGACTTTGAGAAACTCCTTAACCCCTAAAAAAAAAATCTCCACAAGCAGGATCATGGGATACTCTTGTTCCTTTTCCTCTAGAGGTACCTGAGCAAGCTGTGTTTATGGAATGGTGCCCTTCTTTAAGTTTTGGGCAGTGGGTATTTTGTTCCAGCAACAAGGAAAGTAATTAAGACAGATTTTGATACCAGAGAAGTGGGGTCATTGCTGAAATGCTGCTTGACCATGGGTTCAGAAGCCTTTGGAACTGGTTCACAGGAGGAGTTTGGGAAGGTCTGAGGGTGCTGGCCAGAGAATATGGAAAGCTGTAATCTGAGTTTGATGGAAGATTCTAGTCAGAGCTCAGAAGACCAGAATGCTGACAGCAATGCAGCCAGGCAGTAAAGACCAGACTCAAGAGGTTTCACTTGGGAAGGACTCATTGGCAGCTGGACCCCAGACTATGTGTGTTATACTCTGGCAGAAAATTTGTCTACATTTTGCTTATATCCTAGGGCTTTGTGGGAGACTGAGATTAAGGTTGGTGGGCAAGAGCAGGCTAGATAGGCTCACTATCTAGGCCACAGCCTTCACCAGTGGATGGCTTGGGGCAAGATGTAGCTCCCAGCCTCTTTAGTCTACAGAAGCCTCAGAGATGTGGGTGGGGAAGCAGAAGTACGGTACAAGGGCTTGGACAAGGCTTGGCCTCAGTTTCTTCATCTGTGAAATAGGGGGACTGTGAGGTCACATTTACTTTTAACACTTATGACTTGGATCCCTTATCTTTCAGAGTGGTGCTTCTGTTTTCTGATGCAGACACCCAGAAAGGTCAGATTTTTGGAACTGACTCTAATGAGAGGCACTGGGCCAGAGAGTAGGAACCACTGGACAGCCAAAGTGCTGGTTATCGGCTCTGCTTATCTAAAGTAAGGTAGGGGTTGACTTTCTTGTGGTCACATCCAAAACTTTAGCTATTATAAATCTCCTGCCCTGGTAAATAAGCAGCTAGAGCATTCCTACAGGGTCAAGTTCCCTTGAACAATGTAGGTGCTATCAGACCCAGACTAAACATGTACACTGTCATGAAAATCTGACCTACAGAGGCTGAGATGGAGGGAAAGGAAGCTCCCCATCCAGGCTGATTTGAGGGAAGGGAAGCGCCCTGGCTAGGTTAGTCAGCACTGCACTGTCTTAAGGGACTTGGTGTCTCTGCCCTGTGCTTTGGGCAGGTCACCAGGCCCCTGGGAGGCCTCATTATCTTCATTTGTTAAATGAGGGGCTGGCCCAGCAGAGCCCTAAGAAGCCGGTTTGCTCTGATGCCATGGTTATAGCATGTTCTGGGCAATGAACAGAGTTGCAGGCTGGTCCAATTGGTCTGGCTCAATTTTTTCTTTTTTTTGGTACCAGGGATCAAACTCGCGTCCTTGTGCTTGCGCAGCAGGCGGCAAAACCACTGAGCTAAGTCCCTGGCCCTGGTCCAATGGGTCTGAAGAGTGTGAGTTGGATAAGGGAGACAGAAAGGACAGAGAGATGTGTTAGAGAAAGGAAAGGAAGTTGCCTGGAACATTCTCCTATAGAAACCTAGGCCTTTATAAAGCTAAGTCCTGTGAAGCTAAGTCCTTGGCTAAGTGGGGCCAAGGCAACAGTTATACCAGGCATGCCCATCTTCAGAGTCCAAGAGAAGTGGGGAGTTCAGATGCCAGGATGGCAGATTGGGCTCCAAGTGGAGGCCAGGTTGCCTTGCTGTCAGCTGACTCTCACCTGGAGCTGTAGTCAGGGATGGCTCAGCTTCAGGAATCAGAAAAAGATCGGCCACAGCTAGGTTCTCCATGGCCAGGCTCTCTGCAGCCTTAGGCCTGCTGGCTTGAGTCTCTGAAAGTTACTGATTATTTGTCCTGAGTGTAAGGGACCTTGAAGGCTCTACCCCCAACTATGCTTCGGCAGCAATAGACTTTACTAACCTTGTACTGCTTTGACTTATATTTGTTCCCACCAGGCCATCCCCTGGCTGTACCTTGCAAATGAGGGACAGCCTAGCTAATCACTATGAAGGAGAAGCAGAAAGACCTACAGGGGAGGGAGGACCACTGGCTCAGCACTGGCCCATGTCAGATCTCGTTTCTCTTCAACTGGAACGGAGGCTGGCATGGCTAGCTAGCTTTTGTGTTGAGAAACTCACATTTGAAGTCCCAGGAGAGGAAGGGCCTGGTGAGGTGCTTGTTTGCAGCTTAACACGGTCCCAAGCCCACAGTTCTACCTGTCCAATTTTCTACGCAGCAAGAGCAAGTTTGCAGCAGAGGTGTGCCATTTTCAGAAGCTGTGGACTTCTCCCTATGCTACCTCAACCAAACCAAATGGGAAAAATAGCCTAAAAGTCTCTGGTCTCACTCAACAGTACAAAAAGTTTCCATGTAAAGAATTTGCACTCAGAAGGTTTGGGAAGACTCAGGGTTTCTATACTATGAGAAATAAAGCAAAGCAATTAATATACATTGTTTTAAAGGAGAAAAAAAACCCCACTGCAGGTAGGCAGGTAAAACACCAGGTTAGCTGTTAGGGTTAGGTTTGTTTCTAGAAAGTTGGAGATTGGAACTCTATGTGGGAACAGGGCAGTGGGGAGGCAACCTGTATGGGCAGGGGCAGATGCCACACCAACTGCCAAGGCCGCACTAGACTGCTTGGGAAGGCAGTATCCTTTTTTGCAGGATTAACAGGCACAAGAGAACATGGGCTAGATCTTCCCAGTCTGGACCATGGTGCAGACATAATATTCAGGAATATTCATGCTCTAAGGCCACTCATGTATGTGGATCAGAGGCCAGCCTTTCCTTCAGAAGCAAATGAGGGGCCTGGCCACCCATGCCTCTAAGTGGCCTTGGGGCTGATGCAGGAACAACTGCCTTCTCATCTAGGGCAGGAATATGCTGCTGCTGTGGCAGGTGGGAAGAGGAAGGTGCCACAAAAGCACAGCTGTGCACCAAGCACTAGCCAAAGCACATATCCATGGTTCTGTGGTCCTGCATGGCACAAGTCCCACTCAGGCAGGTAGCCCTACATTGCCTATAGTCTGGGACCTGCTGGCCATTCTGGACATTCAATTGTCTGGGGCCCTCTCTTGGCTACAGCCTGGCCTGGAACCTAAGGATAGTCATGCATCTTCTTACCCTACCCACTGGGAGGGCAGAGGCCCACATTTCTACCTCTTTTCCATCAGTTTTCATTCTCTGCATTGTCTCTGCTCTTTCCCTACCACCTGTACCCAGAGCTCTGTGCTCTATGTTGGAGGTGAAATAGTCACCCTGAGGCAAGCAGTCTGGGATGTAGTCATGCTCTTTCTGTGTCCTGGGTTCAGGGCCACCTGAACAGACAAAGCAGGAGACCTTCCCAGGTCTCTGCACCAGAAAAGCTCCACTACATTAGAACTGTTTATGATATTAAACTCCCCTGAAGTTGTCTTCTTTTCACTCTGTCCCTACTGTGTGTACATCTGTAAGAGCCCTCAAGTCCTTTGGGGAAACTTAGTAGACACAGGTAACTGTATTACAGACATCCACCAAGCCTAGGACTGCTGAATTCCCTGGTACTGGACTAGAGGGGATCTTTGACTGGCCAGGTATTTTGTGTCTGCTCCCTCAGAATTGGTGCCTCCAAAGCAAAGGCCACAAGTACTTGTGCTCATCCTGGAAAAATGAATACTGCCAAGAGCTTCCGAGATAGTTCAAGGAGGGAAGAGGCCTTTCCCCTCACTCCTGCTAATATCACAGACCCTGATGGGCCGGGGCATGGGCCTCAGCAGAAAACCAGAGAAGGTGTTTCTGGAGCAGGAAGTCTGTCACCTAAGGAGATTATACAAAGGCAGTGGAGGAAATTTGGCATTCCCATCAGAAGGAGTGAGTGTGGCCTTGTCCTGTCTGATCACAGAGGCTGGGCAGTGGGAAGAGGAAGATGCTGTTACACAGGTGAGGGATTGGGATGGACAGCGAGTTTGGCTCAGCTCAGCAGCGGCTCCTCACCATTCCTTGGGTCATGAGCCAGCTGTCTATGGGCTCCAGGTCAAAGTCCCCACCTTTCCCTCTCTGCTGGGCCATGGACAGAAAAGTCCCAGAAAGAAAAGTCACAGCAAGACCCATAATAAAGAAGTCATGGCATATATTGTGGAAACAGAAAAGTCACTGTTTAGACTTGATCATTTGTCACATAAGGAAATGTGACTTGATGCCTCCCAGCCCCTCCCCTAGTATATCCCCCTTACCTGACTGCAAAGGAAGAAAAGTTTAGTAACCACAAATCCCAGCAGTATAACAGCTACTATGCCAACTACTCCCGTGCATTTGGGAAATCTCTGAGCTTTACTTTTTTGGGGGGGGGCGGCGAGTACTGGGGATCGAACTCACGACCTTGCGATTGAGAGGCAGGTGCGGTGCCACTGAGCTAAATCCCCAGCCCCCTCATTTTTTAAATGATAAAAATGTTCCAAGTAGAGATGGTTGACTTGGTGAGATTATATTTGTGGAGGTGTGACTTTGAGACACTCTCTCCTTTGTTGTGCTCTGAATTTCTCTCTTGGCCCAGTTTTCATTTCCAGGTCAGCATGGCTTGGGGAAGGGTCAACGTAGCCTGAAGCATGTGTGCACACACAGACACAGCTAAAATGTGCTCATATTGCTGAGGTCTGCCTTGCCCCAGGAAGAGTAAACATGAACGGCAACATGCCAGCATATGTGGCCAACTTGCCGCTGTCATCAAGACCATTGAGAACAGCCACATAGCCAGAGAGTGAAGAAATCACCACATCTGGACTGGGACCTGGGCCTGGTGACTGATAACAGCAAGGGAATGGCAGGACACATGCTGATACTGACTGGGTAGGCCTGGAGCCAGAGTGCAGAGCAGGTAGCCTGGCTGAGGGGTGTCCTCAACAGGCAGAAGGCTGGCAGGCCTTCAGCTGGCTATCTAATGAGCTTGTGGGAGGACAGTTTAAATAATGGGAGAAAAAAACAACAAACATTGCTGGATGGTGGGCAATCTGGAGGTTCCAGTGGCACTGCCTGCCCTTCCTGCTCTTCCAGCAGGAAGGGTTGAGTACTGAGAACCCAAGTCAGCCACTGGCTCTTCTGAGCCCCCTGGTGGCCAGTGCAGAGACAAGCACCCCTTTAGATCATGGTTGGGCCAGCTGGGAAGAGGAGCCTGGGGAGAGGGAGGGAGGTGTTTCAGGGATGCCAGGCTACAGCCCTGCTTCCTGTCTGGACCTGTTTGGACAAGGGCCGCAGAAGGCTAAGAACGGTATTTGAGGAGCAAAGAACCCTTTCAAATCTCCTTGTCCAGTGGATGGGTCAGCACTGCCCCCTTGCCACCCAGCAGGGGAATCTGGCAGGAGTTCCAGCTGTTGTAGGCAGCTGCCTCAAGAGCCCGCCTCCTCCCTGCCCCTACAAACAGCATGGATCCACACACATTTTTTCTAGTCAGGCACAGATAAGAAAATGCTCTGGAGAAGCACCGGACATAAATCTTTTCTCCTTCAGTGATCTGAAATCTTACAGAAACCACAGCTGCATTTTGGGGCCATACAAGTACCACCCTCCACTTCAAGGTGCTTCCCCCTTGGCTTTATTCTTTCCAAACTGGGAGCTTCCAAGGATACCCTCCCAAACACTCCCTAACTGCTCCAGTTCTCCAATGAAATCCTGACCCTCAGCTGCCCTCCACTGAGTAACACTGCTTGGCTAGGCCACCTACCAATTCAGAGAGTTGGTTCAGGTTGGTACTCCCCTCCCCTGTGACAGCATTATGCTGTCAGTGTAGTGCTCACCCCCAGGGCACTGTAAAATGTGAAGAGAGGCCCTACTTGGCCATGGGAGACCTGAGTCCTAAGAGCTTCCTCTCATTGCAGTAGGAAGAGCAGGGGCTATGGAGTCAAAACTCCCAGGATGTGATCCCCACATGCTGCCTGTTCTCTGCATGCCCCTTGGCCCATCTTCCACCTCCTGGGCCTGTTTCTCTCGTGTATCACAGTACTGTCACTTCACGGGGTGGGGGAGGACTCAACAAGACACTGCCTAGTGGCACATAGGTGCTCCATGTGTCTTCCCCAGCTGGTCCCTGCTGTCTATACAAGCCAGCTTCTGCTGAACTATCCAGTGAACTTTACCAAACTGCCTGACTTTCCCTGCAGAAGACTGGGCCAAAACACAGGATAGAAGACTTACCACTTCTGAGCTCTGTTTCCGACTATCTAGTGCAGAAGCAAGTCCTCCAACAGCCTGGGGGTCCTCATAGGTGACCCTAGAGACAAAGCAGCACAAGCAAAGAGAGTGCCCTCAGGGGTAGTCGGTGGATGGTGGTGTAACTAATCGTTTCCTATCCTATGGCATCTTTCTCAGGTGTGGCCTTGGCCCTGGGCAAAGGCTAAGGGCTCATCTTGTATCCCTGCAGCTGAAGCAAGAAGACTTGGATTCCCCACTGAACTCCTCTGGGACCTGGGGCTTGTGCTTTTCATGGTCTTTTTATGACTCCTCAAAAGGAGTCATAACACTGGGGCCTCTCTGATGCTCAGTGGCATGGTGTCAAAAGTGCCCTGGAGGGCAGGGGATTTAGCTCAGTGGTTCCATCACCTGCCTAAAGTTCAAGGTCCTGAGTTCGATCCCGGGGACAAAAAAAAAAGTGCGGTGGAGGGCCAGTGATGTAGCTCAGTGGCACAGTGCCTGCCTGGGAAACACAAGGTCCTGAGTTTGATCCCTGGTACAAAAAACAATAACAACAACAAAAGTACCCTGGAACTCCTCAGAGGGAGGAGCTAGATAAAAGCACAGTACTATTAATTTTATAAGCAGTAATCATCTTTGGGCTGAACAGAAACCTCAAAGAATGCTCTGTGCCTTTCTGAGATGCAGGGGATTGTCTGTTTTGGAATCAACTCCCCCAATTCCACGTGGTTCATCCTTGCCAGAGTGGCTACTGGAAAAGCCTCTGTTCTCTCCACATTTTTTTGGCAGTTAAATATTGCTGCTAGGCACATGTTTGGGTCCCTCCCTGGCTGCACCCTCCTGCATCTGAGCTCCTCCTGCAGATGAGGGGTTGGGCAAGGTGGTATCTGCAGTTGTAACATAGGCAGGAGAGAAAAGAAGAGCAGACTCCTATAACAGACAGGAGAACTAACATCTCAATCAACCCCAAGGGCAGAGAAGACTGGAAGGGGGGCTGGCATTCATTCAACATCTGCAGCCAATGCCAAGTCTTCACAGCCGTATTTTAAAGTTCCTGGCAGTCCTGGATCTGGTAAATAAAAGGCTTCTTTGTGCTGGACTTTGACCAGGCCTGAGCCAACTCCCCCAGACAACCTCCCCGCAACATCTTCAGACAGCCACTGACTGGAGGGGCCCCACATACGTTTTGCGCTGCTCAGCTAAGGAGTTCCCTCTGGTCTGGGCAAACATGTCAAACCCGTCCCGAGGATTGCACTGCTGAAGTGAACTGAGGGTGCCGCTGACACTTTCTGTCCCCAAGTCTGTGACAACAAAACAAGTAAGTGGCAGGTGAGAACAAAATGTAGACTGTGGACCTGATGGGGCTCCAAAGCCAGGACACAAGGGGGGCAGGTTAAGGGCCTGTGAGGAGGACAAGACCATCCTCAGCATTCCCAGTACAACAAGGGCAAGCCTGTGGGAGACAGGAAAGTACTGTCCCCTAGCTGCTTAAGGGGGAGAGAGCGTGTCATGAGGAAAAGGGAGACCACTGACAGTGAGAAGGCAGGGAGGAGCCAGAGCACTTGCAGCCTTCCCACAGTACCATTCTTAGGAGTCCTCATTTACAGTATTTAAAGACCTGGGCTGCTAATTTATTTGGCACTTACTTCATAGGCAATAATCAAGTTCAGACCCAGACCTCCAGTGGATCCAGAGGAATCTGACATGGTCTTTGGCCTTAGGAAGGTCACCAAGAAGGTGGTACAGAGGCAAACAACTGCTATGTTTGGCTGAAGGAATTAGGGGAGGCTCAAAACTGACACAGTAAGTGGGGCTATGCTGGGGAACAAGGTGAAGACAGGGTACAGGGTCTGGAAGGCCAGGCTGTGTGAAGTATCACTGCCCAAGGGAGAGATGAATGGAGGAGGAGGCTGGGAAGGCAGGTGGGAGATGGCCAGTGACGAGCTTCAAGTGCCAGGGAAAGGAGTCAATGGGCAAATACTAGACATTCTTTAAGAAAGGAGGTACCACTTTGAATTTTAGGTATTAAATCTGGTGGCCTTCATCTGGATAGACTGGAGGCAGAGAAATCTGTTCTGACAGAGAAACAGTGGTTACAGATATAGGAAATATTAAGATGATGAATTCCAGCAACTAACAGGCCACTAAATACAGGGTTTTTTTGGGTGGTTTTCTTTCTTTTTTTGTACTGGGGCTGAACCTAGGGCCTTCACATGGATCTATATTCCCAGTTCTTTTTTATTTTTTATTTTGAGACGGGGTCTCACTAAGTTGCTAATTTCCCTAAGCTGGGCTTGAACTTGCAATCCCCTTACCTTAGTCTCCCATAGTGCTGGGATCAGAGGTGTGCCACCATGCCCAGCTTAAATAAAAGTTTAATTCCACTGAAGTGAAATGAAGGAAGAAAAATAAATACTAAGAAAAAAGGAAACAGAAAAGCAAGACGTAGAACAGAATTTTGAGGGCCATGTTTGTTAATTATGTCAGTATTATCATTTTATTTTTTCTAAGTTGGTATCATCTGGTATACATGAAGAATCTTGAGTCATATACACACTCCTTCTGTGCAAAGGTGGGGAGTTTCTTCTAAGTTTCACAGTGGAACAGTTTAGGTTAATGGAGTAGTTCGAGGAGGGTAAATATATCTGTCAGTGCCATCACCTCCTATTGCTCAGCCCACTGTAGACATCTCCAATCTATCACATATTTATCTTTTAGGTCCTAATGTGGCTTTAGCATCAAACCTGAGTTCCAAGTAACCAATAATTTGAAATCTATTTGCCATTCTTGGCTTAGTTAATACTGAAACTTGGAATTTTTCCCACCTTTGCTTTCTAACCCAGGTTGAAACTTCAAATTTCAGGAAAGAAATTATGAATTCAGAGTTGTACAACTGGCTAGGACTCAGAAATACACCTTTACAAAGACTCCCCAAAATGCTTTCTTTCAGCCCTCCAACAGAGATGAGACCACAAGGGAAGCCCACAGTAGGGAGCCCCTTTACATATCAGTGAGACACTCACCCAGCCCTGCCAGCTGCGAGGAGAGGGAAGAGGGGGGTGCTGCACTTCCCACCATTGGGCTCACCACAGCAGGAGAGCCAGGCCCCAGGTCTATTAAGTTGTCTTCAGTCACTTCATTGAGTACCTGTGGGGCAGGAGATGGAGGTAAGGGCCAAGTCCTTGGGTAGTTCCAAGGTGAATATGGCAGACACTGTGCAGGGTTTTGTAAGAAAAGCTATCAACAGGGCCCCACACAGACGCAAGGTGGCTTCCTCACCACTCTGAGTTCATGGTGGGCCCTGGCTGTCAGTGAACTGCCTGCTGGCCTCCTCTCCCTTCCCATTTAAAAGGAGGTAGCCCCAAGTCACAGGACAGTGAAGTCCTGGGAGCTGAAGGCCTAGGTTTTGTGCCACCCTCCTGAGTGCCAGCCAGCTTTTTCCAGGCTCCCTCTAACCAGAGTGTACCCTCCAGTTATCCAAATATTTTAGCCCTCTTTAGAAAAACTAGAAGGAAAGCCAACCAGGGCAAGTCTCTAAAATGTGTGTGGATGGCTTCCTCAGAACGGGGGTGCTCACTTACTCCATTGCTGGCGTTCTGAACCGATCGGCCCGACCTGTATCGCTCAAACCTAACAGGGAGGGAAAGGAAAGAAGTAAGTAGCGTGGGAGGCTGTGTGGGGGCTGCTGCACTTACAGTCCCATGGAGAGCTCTGGGGACCCAAGAGAGGTGAGTCACTTGGAAAGGGGACCAGTCAGTCCCATGTGAGCAGAGAGAGTAGATCCCACATGTATAACTGTGTTAGGCCTTTTTCCGTGCCGGCCTCCCACCCTTCAGGAGAACCAGCCTCCCTGCCTCTCCCACAGGTACACTGGTTGGTCTTAGGGAGGAAGTGTTGGCTATCACACTGAGGAGGCCACCAAGAGCATCCCTCACACACTTGGCCCCAAGTGCTGCTCTGCCCCATAAGAGGAAGCTGAGTCAACCACCTGACCTGGAGGTATCCCACATGTCTATCTACAAAGCCAGCAACTAACCACAGACTCCCTCTCTATTTTTGCTTGACAGTACCCAATTCCACTTCTGGATGAAAATGGGTAGGGCATGTATGAGGTGACATGGAAAGGAGAGGCACAGACCCTGGCCAGGCCTGGAGAAAAGGCTGGCCAGGAGCTGTGGAGAGGTTTGGGCCAACAACCCAGCAGCTGCCAGGAGAGTGGGGCAGGCAGCTCTGCTGGGCTAATCTCCTCTGCATCCAGTCAGCAGATGGCTATAGATGGGGCTTGACTGTCAGCAACCTCAGGAAGTGTCCCCTCTGCCACACCTGTATTTTCACATTAGTAGAGAATATACAAACACTTGTGAGGTCTGGGGTGGGGGGGTTACAGATACAATCTTGTACTGTATTTAAAAGCTCCAAATGCCATAGGCCAAACGCCACCAACCAAGAGGTATCCAGGAGACTTCTCTGGCCAGAGCCTAGGTTTGGTTTGCTGCTCCTTGTTTGCTCCCCACCAGCACCTGGTGTCAAAGGATCCCCAGGAAAAATGACCTGATTAGGCAATATAGGTCCACTGTAGTTTTGACTTGTGTGATTTTTTCAACAGGGGTCTCTCTGGAGGGCAGGGATATTAACACATCTGAAAAACTAAATCTTGGGGTGTCTTTCCCAAGCTTTCTTTGAGGGACTATTAGTTTTCCCAAGGTACTCTAACTGGGATGGCAATGCAGGGCTGATCACCCCGGGCAGTACCTCTGAGTTCTTTGTAAGACCAGGACAGGTGAACCTGTGAGTGACAATGCCCACACTAGCTCCTGTTATCCTATTATAGCAAGGGCTTAAATAGGTCTAACAGGTCAAAACAAGCCCAAGTCAAGGCTTCTGGGAACTGTTTATATTCTCTGGCTAACACACTATGGGTGGCTCCAGATTCCTACTATAGAGGCAACTTCATCTGTTAGATGGGCACAGGGCCACCCATCCCTACTGTCACAGGCAGAAGCTGAGACAATCCTGAGGTGTGACAACCACCATACTAGCATCCTCTGAGCCCCTAAAGGGAAATGTAAACACACAGTCTGTTGCCCTAACTGATGCTGGTCCTTGTCCTCCTGATCAATCCACCCAGGAATCTGAGTTAGCTGGAGCAAGCCCAAGACTCCAAGGGACTTAGGCTGGTGTCCCATTCTCTTGGGCCTCATCATAAAAGAGAGAAGGCTGGCCTGGTCAAGGTCCTTTCTGGTCCTAACACTGAGCTATCCAGGAAAGCCCAAGGGTCAGCCCAGTCCAAATCATACAATTTGGACCTGTCCCACGCAAGGCACTGGGAAAAAATTTTTTGCAAGTTTGTTACTTTAAGACTAAAAATGATTTGGCTGCAGAAAGAGCTGAAAGGAATGTGTGTTTCCCTAAGAAGCAGCAGCAGCAGCAACAGCATTTCAGCACTTACACTCTGCCTGCTTCTCCTGATCACTCCAGACACATTGACATTTACAAAGGGAAAATTCTTGCTTTTTTTCAAGATAGGAAAGAGGAAGTCCTTTTTCTTAGTAGAGGTTTTATTTTTTTCCCTTTAATCCTTTTCAAATTCAAAGGATCATCAAAGGAGCAGGCGCAGAAGCTCTGGGCCCAGCCGCCACCCCCACTCCCCCACCCCACCCTGCCAGTCCTAGCCTTCCCTGGGGCTGGGGTCCTAGGGGAGAGGCAGAGCAGCCAAAGGCTTAGAAAGGGCAGAGCCCAACTCTGCACTTCAACTTCCTGCTGCTCTGTTCCCAAGAGAACAAGAAGCACTCTTTCTGTCATCTGGGAAGAAATTAGCATCTCTGATGAGTATTTTCTAATTCTAACCTATCTCTCTCTCTCTCTCTCTCTCTCTCCCCTTGTTTATGAAAGAAATCCCTCTGTTATGACAACAATCCTTTCAAGGGCCTGCTCCTACCTCTCATAGCGGAGGAAGACATTGTTGAGGTCGTCATTAACATGCAGCAGCTCCTCAGTGACCTCCTCATTGGACACACGGGAGATGAGCTCCACAATGCGGTGCTGCATGGCCCGACAGGTCCTGTTCAGCTCCTAGGGAACACAAGCACCTCTGCATAGCCTGCTGGGAATGTCTTTTGTCACGTTCTAGTGCCTTTGAAAAGATTTGTACTGATTCTTAAAAGTCACAGAAGGAGTACATGCTTCTTCATAAAACCAGACGTGTACAGAATACAGAGTAAAAGCTCCCTCCTTGCTGCCTGCCTCTCATACCCCAGAGGACACAGTACTTTTTCAAATGTCCACACATACACACTATTATGTATAGACAAGCATGTATTTGTGCAAACCATTTTTAAAGTATAAAAATACGATTCTTTGCAGCTTGCTTTTTCTCTTTAACAAAGTATTTCAGGATCTTTTCCGTATTACTCTGTACACCACTGCCTCGTTCCTTTGTGTGCGTCATAATGCATCTTACCATTCTGCTGTTGTAGGGCACATAGCTCTTCTTTGGGGGAACCCAAAAAATACACTAATGAACTTTGTACATGTGATGCTTATATCCTTGAGCAAGTGCTTCCACAGCACAGGCTCTTCATAGGTGGAATTTCAAGGTGGCAGTATGTGTGACCATTTAGAATACCGACTGGTAATAGTTAAAGGCTCTCCAAAAATATGCTATCACTTTACTTATACTGCCGGCAATGGCATGAGTATATTTTATGACTGCATTAGGGACCTTGTGCTGGCATGACTGTCTCCTTGCCAAGGAGTTAGAAGCTCCACAAACTCCCACATAACTCTCTGCTGGCCAAAGACAATACTCGCATACCCCTAGTCACCAAAGGACCCTCTTGACCCCTGGAAGCAATATCCTTTGAGAACGGAGCTTTATACTTTATGGCCTGGCTTCCATGAGCCCTTCTTGCCCTGGAATAAATGCCTTACCAATACTTCTGTTTAAACTTGCTTGTGGAGCTCCCTCAAATAACCTTCCAGGGTCCTTGTATACCAGACTGAGACTGCTACAGAGATGTGGCAGGCCTGCCAGCCTGGCCCCTCAGCCTCTAGTACAGGAGCTGCCTATAAACAAAACTGTAAATCCCACTGGGCTACTAGGGTTAAGGCAGAGATGAAATGCTATCCCCATCTACTCAGTTGAGGGACTGAATGAGCCAGTGATGTCTCTGCATGGCTCTTTATGTTGCCTCATCTCATTCTCTTGGGCAGTCTTCTTTTTTGCCAGATTTAACCTCCTTGAGGGGTGTTGTTCTTTATCCCCCATGGATGTCCTGAAGCCAGGCACTGAGCCACACACTGCTGAGTTGGGCCACTGAGGTGGTCAGACAAGCAAAAAAGGGAGTGGAAGGTGCTCCTTCTTCAGGCTCCCTGGCATCAGGAAACATAGCACTCACCCTCAGGATTATTATGGCTGGGCTCTGAATCTGCCTCCCCTTCTAAACTCTGGCTTGAGATTTCTTTTCCCATGTCCCCAGTGCTATGACTGATTCACAGGGACATTTTTCAGGTGTTCCTGAGAGAATTAATGAGTGAAGGCAGGTTCTATTTCTCTCACACTCAGTTCAGGGTATCAAGGAGAGTTTCCAACCTCACTCCCCTGGACCTGTGTGCCTTGGGCCTGTCTCTGCAAGTAGGAGCATGGTAGGGGATCTCAACTGGCTTTTGCTGCTGTCCCTCCTCCCACGATTCTAAGCCCTGTGGCTGATTCCTCTAAAGTGGGGGCAGCCGAGATAGAGGCCTGACCTAAGTGGATCAGCTCAGAGTCACTTGAGTACAGCTGTACTTTTGGGCAGAAGGGACCTGGATTTTAGCAAGCGAGTATTCAAAACAAGTCTAGTTTTGTCATATTGACAAAAAGCTTTCCTGGAGATGCCTTGATGTTGGGTCTGGTCACCTTGCTAGGTCCTGTCTGTCTGTCTATGGCACTGCTGCCCTTCATCCTGGTTCTAATTCTCCATAACCAGAATGGTGCTCTAAGTCTCTCTTGGTCACTGAGAAAGCCAGCAAAACCTTCCAGGCTTTTCTCTAAATAGATTCCCACTCTTGGTTCTCCTAAGCCTCTCACCCTGGATTTTGGAGAAGGCAGGATCATCAGGGCACACTGTTTCTAAAAAAGGCAGACCCTACCACAAAGGCCCAGGACGGGAAAGTTTGGCCCCTGTCTGGCGCTTATGGCCAAGCAGTAAAGTCTGGATACACTTGGTTGGGAAAGGGAAAGCACAAGGTCAATCTTCATCCAAACTGCAAGCCAATGACAAGCTGTAAGACCTACAAGTAAGGGGAATATGGGCCATGTCATGAGCCCCCTCCAGAGGCATGGAGCACAACTATCAAGAGCCCACAAACCATGTCCAAGAACACTTCAGACTGTCAAGGTTAGCAGGGGACCTCGGGCATTTATCCACTGCTCTCAGGCCCTGAGAAGTCAGCTTTCTGCCTGAAATGTCCCTTCTTTCCATTAAACAAACTCCTATTCTTCTCTAAGACTGCAAGATGTTTCCCTACCCCAATATTTTATCAGGAAAATGTTAAACATATAGTAAAGTAAATGTATCACCATCTATTCTCTACCATTAACATTTTTCAGTGCCAGATTTACCATGTGTCTATTTATCCATCTTTTTTGGCCATTTGAAATGTTTTCTGGGGACCTATAGCTGCCCCTTCCTTCTTAAGAAATCTCTCAACATTCCAGACATACCTCCACTGCACCTTCCACCCTAAAATGCCTTCAGAGCTCCTCTAGCAAAGCCTCCAACTGATGACCAGCTCCAGCCATCCCATACAGCAAAAGCCCCAGTACGAGAGCAATCCTGACGTGGCTCCCCAGATTCAGAGGGCCAAACCAGACACCTCAGCGCACTGCCAAGAGTGTCTCTCAACATATGGTTGCAAACACTCCAGGCACCAGGATCAATCGACAAAAGAGGGCAGGGGCTCATCTCTGTCTCCCCCACAGAGCCCCTTTTCCCAGCTGGGTGCTAGGGACCAAGCAGTAGGCAGCAAGGAGCCAATGAATGGATAAGCTCTTCATGTCACCAGGACTCTGCTTCTCTGTGTGTAAAATAAGAGGGCTGAATACACAGGGGGTTCTGCAGAGTACCATGGAGGTGCCCCAGAGATCTCCGTATCTTACTCCTTGGCAGCCAGAGCAGCTCTGCTTTCATCTACAGTGGACCCTGACTTACAAACTCAATTCGTTCCTGAAGGCAGTTGTAACTCAACTTGGTCAACTGAAGGCTCAGGCTCCTCTATACAGCTTTCAAAGTCTCTCTTCTATATACAGGCAGATCTCAGTGTCCTTCGAGAGATAATTGATCCAGGAAATGATGTTGTAATGTTCCTTCTAGAACTCTTTAAGGGTTAAATCTGTATCTGAGACCATCTGGAAGCACAAGCGGCCAGGATTCACATTGTAACTCAAGACTTTGGTTGTAAGTTAAAACTAAAATTCCAGTCATAACCCAAGTTGTTCATATGTCAGGCTGGTCATAACTCAAGGGTCCACTGTATATTTAAAATAAATTCTCTGTAGAAATATATTTGTGGGGGGGCCGGGGATTTAGCTCAGTGGTTTCGTGGCCTGCTGCGAAAGCACAAGGACCCGAGTTCAATCCTCGGTACCAAAAAAAAAAAAAAAAAAAGAATTATATTTGTGGAGGAAAGGGTTCTATACTTCCAAATACTGTTTGAAAAGTACTAGAGGATTTCTGAGGCTCTAACATCAAGTCCTCAGCTTGGAGGAAGAACAAGACCCAAAGGCAGAGTCCATGTAGTGGTCTTACAGACTCTGAGCACAAGAAATGTCTCTTTTGGCTTTGCATTTGCTGCCTCTCCTCTCACTGCTTTCCTGTTGGGGTGGTGGCTAGGTTCCCACCCCGCTGAGTTCCCACCCTGCAGGAGGGTCTTGCAGGGTGCCATCCTAGAGGGGCACCCCAGTGGCTTCCCTAAGCACTCTGCCTAGAGACAGGTTATACAGTCCATCCTAGGCATTCTACATCAGTGCTCTTTGCAAAGAGAAAAGCTTTCCATTTCCTAGCTTCAACATTTTTTGTTTGGTTGGTTTTTGGTTTTTTGAGACTTTATAGTTCAGAATGGCTTTGAACTCACTATGAAGCCCAGGCTGGCCTTGCTGCAATCTTCCTGCCTCAGTTTCCTGAATGCTGGGATTGCAGGAATTCACCACCATGCCCGGCTCAATATTTTAAATTACTTTCTTGAAAAAGAAAAGAGATGAACCAGAATGTTAAGATTTCTGTACTACCATGTCACCTGCCCACCGCCATGGCCTTCCTAGTGCCATCCTTAGCCAGATCCACACAGGTTCAGCTGGAGACTTTCCTCTGTCTCCTTCTACCTCCAAACCACCCAGGCAGAGTGACTCTTTCAGGCCTAAGGCAACTGAGAGCCAGCATCTTGGCTGGGTCACCCTTTCCATTGTGCAAAAGCGGAGACAGGAATTCCCTCATGCCAGACAGGAATTCCTCCTATCTCTGGTTCTCAACAGAGGAGTAGAACAGCTGGTCACTTGTGCAAAAGCCTTCATCTACCAGAACACATTATGAAATAATCTCTCTTTTCTGTCTAACTAATCCCAGTGTCTTTATCTTTTCTTCAGGGGACTGTCTCAGGTCCATCTCACAAAACAGTATTTTAATCATTTTTGTGGTTCCCTCTGAACCTTCTGCCTGTTCCAGGGAGCATGGAATAAGGTCTTGAAGATCTGTCCTGCTGTGGAGGAGACAGGAGAGAGAAGAAAATTGTTTGAGGGAATAGGGAAATAATGAAGCTAAACATGTATAACATGCTAGATTTCTCCAGAGAAAATGGCCTTGGTCATTCTGTTTTTGTTACAGCGAGATGAAAGAAGGGGAGGGGGTGGTTTATACCATCTGCTACTTGGAAGAACAACAGGGAGGATGGCTTCTTTTATTGTCTGATGAGTGCCCATATAAGAACATCCACTTTTGGGAGTAATGGATTAATTAAAAGTTATTAGCTGAAGACAAAAGTGAAAAGCCTAAATCAGGAGAGAGAGGGCAGTGGATAATGGAATGAAAGTCTTTTAGGATTCCAGAAAGCAGCTAAGGGTGTGCCCTTTAGCAGGGACAGGTGTAGTTCGCATCATGGCTCCTGGACTCAAATGTCCACATATAGGATTCAGAAGATGCAGCCTAAAAACAGCTACACAAAAAAGAGATGGGCCAGGATTTTGGGATGATGGAAGCTCTCCATTTGACAATGTCTACCTCATGTGAAGAGCTGTTCTATGAGATGGGCTGCCAATAGCTGCACCTGTTCCATGCAGATTGGGCAGTAGGCAGGGCTTATAGAAATCTTTGAATACTTAAGCATCTATCCCTATGAAAGAGGAATTAGTTTTGTTCTGTTATCTGAGATAGACCAAGGTCAAGGTTACAGGGAGACAGTCTTGAGCTCAATGTACAGGAGGGCTTTCCAACAGTGGTTATAGCTCACAAGCTACAATTTGCAGAGGACTTGCCTGGATCTGGCCCTACGCCAGGCATTTTTAAGGTGAAAGCAATCACTCCAGGCTGCGAAAGGAGGAGAAATGGGCTCCAAGAGGGCCTGTGTCTTGCCTAGTATCATCTGGCTCATCAGTGAGAGAACCAGGATTGCACTTGGTGATTCATAAACTATGCCCTCTCTACTCCCTATGCCGTTTCCAGTGTTTAACTAGATGCCTGCCTGAAGACAGAAAAGCTTTCATGGACTGTGGGAAAAGCCTGCCACTGGGGATATGAGACAAACCAGGCAGACACTAGGCATGATGCTAGAGAGGAAACCTGTGAACAAATGGGGATAGAATAGCTGTCCAAGTCTCTCTCAAGTCAGCAAGTGGAGGGTCTGACAACTGACCTGGGAGGCATGGCAATGTTCACTCCCAAAATCCTGCTACTTTTCCACAGGGGCTCTAGCTAAGATGACAGCACAGGATGCTACAGTGGCCTCAGCCTCTACTCAGATACCAGCCATTTGCTGCCCTAAGTCCACAGGCAAATTGCTCACAACTTCCCTGCTGCTCCTGCCAGAATGTGGGAGGATACACCTGAGAGAGCTTTGACATGTGCAGGGAATAAGTGGTATGTAACTTGTCCACAGTTATGATTGACTACTCTGGTGCATCCTGGGGCTGACTCCTACAGTTACTTATCTTCCCATTCCCTCTACCTCCTAGTCAGTACTTTACACTTGAATCAGGGGCAGCTGCTGTTGGTGGAGACATCTGGGATGGTGACAAATGTGTTTATTTCCACTGCCCTGGCCAGCACTCAGCTCTAGACTGCTTCTCCCCGAGTACTCAGGCTGCCCTCCAGCTTGACTGAGGGGTCTTGGGGACAGATTCTGATCCCTGCACTTTCCAAGCAGACCGCATTTTCTCATGCAGAAGGCTCACTGTTCTGTGTAGTACCCACCCTTGGGAACCCTGGCCTGCTGTCTTCTGACTGCTGGGGAAGGAGGAGAGGGAGTATGTCAGGCATGTGGCCACCAGCCAGGAGAGCTATGTCTGTTCACATGGTGCTGCCCACTCCTGAGTCTCCCAAGCTGAAAGGATAGCCTCCCACGGGCCCCAAGTCGATCTTTTTTCTGTTTGATTTATACGACAGCAGTGGGCCTGGGAGGCTCAGAGTTGGAACAAAACAGAGGGAAAGAAAACGTCATGGGAAGCAACCTATTTTTGAAAACTGTGAGCTGAGACCAGGAGATTAGGTTCTGTTTGTCTTCTCTGATGGGCTCATTAAAAAAACAACAACAACAATAACAAAAACCAAAAAACAAAAAGCAAAAGCAAACACACACACACACACAGTACTCCTGCTGTCTGGATCTGCTTTGGCTGTCTGGAAGCATCTTGGCTTTGTTCAACCCTTCCCCTGCTGCCAGGAGCTGTTCTGCCAGAGCAACACTCCCTCTTCCCCCCTCCCCCATCAGCAGGAATTCCGACGCTGACACAGCACAAAGCTTCCTCAGGAGGCCCCTGGACTGCCCTCAAATTCCCGTGCATCTGGGTAATGCCTGGCAGAGTCACTGCTGCAGGCTGGGGACAGAGGTCAATGATGACACATTAAAGGGGGGAGGGTCCACAGAGTATGGCACATGGACAGTTGTCCCTGCTGAGCTGAGCAAGCCTGGTCTGATGCAGGTGTCAGAGAAGTGTAGTCTGGGAATAGGGGAGACTACACCAGGGGTAGGCTTAGAGCAGCCTGATAGTAGTCACATTACAGGGGAATGTGCTGTCTCCTTGTCTGTCTCCTACATTACACTGTGAACTCCTTCAGAGCAAGGTCCAGAGCTTCTGACTCTATGTGGCCCTAGGGCTGTGCTCTGTGCAGGACCCAGTGCAGGCCACCACTCACTCTTATCTCTGAAGGAAATGATGGCCTCTCAGCAAAGAGGGGACTCCAAGAAACAGGATGGGGCCAGGCCAAGCCACTGGGCATGTACACTCCAAAAGTGCAGGGCCATCAGAGTCATGTTTCCCAGGTGGCCAGTGTATGCCAACAGTAGGATGGGAGGTGTGGCACTCAGGGGATCAAGACTGATGACAGAGTACAAGATGAAAATAGTACCAGCAGCAGCAGGCATGTCAAGAAGCACTCATACAAAGTTGTCAAGCCAGTCTGGCACCTGACCTGTCTGCTCATGCATCTTGCCTCCTGCTGGAAAAATGTGGCACTTGTAGTTCCTAGCATCCTTCTCTACGACCCAAAGGTCACTGCTCCTAAGGGCAGTGCTGCTTCCATTTTCTTCAAATTCTAGAGTCACCTGAAACTTAGTGTAGTAGATATCTGCCCACTGGCTCAGGACCTTGGTTGGCCTGGGAAACAGGCCTGAGGACACCCCTGACTCTAGTCCCAGGGCGGGACTATAGGCCACTTTCTCCTAGACCCTTTCCTGCCATGCTCAAGTTTTGTAGGGGTGGGGAGAGTGTAGCGCAGTGGCAGAGTCTTGCCTAGCATGTTTGAGGCTCTGTGTTCAATCCCCAGAAGCATGTGCACACGAGCGCGCATACACACACACACACACACACACACACACACACACACACACACACACACACACACACACACACACACACACAGATTTGTGGGATGTCCAGAGGCAGGAAGGCTGAGGGAGAGGAGTTCCTCAGGAACCACAGTGTAAGCCCCTCAACCTAGGCATACTCAGAATTTGGGAAGGGAACAGAAGCTTCAAGTTCTTTTCAGTCTCAGGAATTCCTGCCTTGGGGGTGAGGGGGAAGAAAAGGGAACCCACATGCCGTTAGGCCACAGAGGGCCTGATGTAGAGATGTCCATGACATGACAATGAGGGAGTAGGGCCACACACCAATTCACATCATAGCATAGTCTCATCTAGATTTACAGCAAACACAGCAAACAGTCTGAAAGAAAATACATCAAGGGCTGGGGATGTAGCTCAGTGGCACCTTGCCTGCCTGGCAAGCATAAGGTCCTAAGTTCAGTTCCCAGTACAAAAAAAAAACCACCCACAAAAAAACCCCAAAATCAAAACCTCAACAGCAGTTACTGTGAGTACTTGGGTTAAAAGAAAATTATTTCCTTCTCTATTTTCTTTCTTTTTTTTGGATGGCCATGTATTCTATAATTGGCATTTTACAATCAAGAAAAATGTTACTAAGAGAAACAAGAGAGAGAGTGTGCTATTGGCCTCTGCCCACCCCCATAAAGTATGAGGCAGAGTGTGGGGCAACTTAGTCCCTCTTGACAGTGGTGTCAATACATAGTCCAGTCCCCAGCCGTGTTACCAGGTAGAAGGTCCTACCACAATGTACAGCAGCCCTCCCACAGATGAGGTCCTCCTTACCTGCAGCAGTTCCAGATCAGATGAGTCCTCCTGCCCGGGAACCATCTCTGTTAACATTTCAGACATAACTTTTGTATTTCCCCGAACTACATCCAGCTCACTCCGCAGCCTGGCAATCTTTGGATCACAGGGAGGAAAGCAGGAAGGAGAGGTCAGCCAGCTGTGTCTGGGAGATCAAAACGAGCCAGACTATAGGCAGGGGCAGTCCTGTCCATTATGACACTTAGTCACCTTCTGCATGCACTCTGCAAGAACAGCTTTCCCATCTCCTTCTGGTCTGCCTGTGAGGGGACCTCAGTTTGGAGAGAACTAAATGGGAAAGGGTGGTCATCCATGGAGCCCTGGTCACCAATAGCCTGTCTCCACTGATACCAAGTGAAGAGCACTGTGCAGTGAAGAGCGTAGAAGCAAGTCCACCTGCCCTGCGGGATATGTAGGAAGGATTAGTGCCCATTCTGATGGACAGGAGACTGATGTTAACTGTCCTACCAAAGCCTCATGGTGAGTAGCTCAAGCCTACCAGCCCAACTACTGGTTTGCCACCTGCTCACACCGTACTCCTCCCTCAGCACTGGCAGAGATGTGACAATGACATGGTCCTGGAACACTTGTCACCTACACTCAACTGACTGACCCCTCTGTTTCAGTGAGGTTTCATAATAAAGACATTGTCACAAATAGGAAATAAGGGTTTTGAATACAAACATTGGATAGATTTATTTTCCAACTCTGACCAATTCTGAAATTTATTGGAAATTCTTCAGGTTCATCTAAGACTAGGCACCACAACTCATCTAAAAATATCCAGTTTGGGGTAATATCGCATTAGCTTATCAGGAAGTGACCTGTAGAAGGGGGAAGTGTTTGGGATAGGACAGGAAGAGTACTTCCAGAAGGCCTCCCTGACTGCAGCCTCTGGCTCCATAGGCACCTTGCTGGTTGAGCCACTGGTCTCTGACGGCTAATGTTTCTTATAGAACTGATGTGAAACTCTCAGTGTGACAGGTAAGCCCTTCACAACTCAATTGTATTCCTCTGCTTTTAGCCTCACTTTCTGACACTATTTCCTCCCCTGCTCAGGCCCTATACATGTACCTCCCCTGCAGTCGTGCCACTTGCCATTCTGAGGAGCCTGCTTCTCTGTGCTTGGTGTGCTCCAGGCCACCGCTTGCACAGGGCCTCACTGACAGCCCCATGCTGGTTTTAGGACTCTCAGTGCTCAGCTCTGGGCTGCCTGCCAGGCACTGCTCAACCCTGGCTCACAGAGCACTCTGCTCTACTCCCCACCATGGCATGACCACACTCTATCATGACAGTCTTGTATCTGTCTCCCTCAGGGAAGGGGCCCTTTCATCTTTGTGTCACCACAGCCAGCACAGTGCCTGGTCTGAAGAAACCTCTGTATGTATCTCCCAGAAAAGTGAAAGAAGGTGGTCACCTGGCTTCCCTGAGGCCTGGAAGCATGCAAGTACCTGTTCTGAGTTGGCTGTGATGGGACCAGTTACACTCAGAGCTGGGGCCTGAGGAGCAGAGTAGGAAGCAGGAGAAGGTGAGGAGTAGGAGCCAGTAGTTGTCCTCTGTTGTGACTGGGACCTGGGGATGGTCGTGGCTGGATCCACTTCTGGGACACTCTGGCAGGGCAACAACAAAGTCCTTGGCTCAGCTCGGTTACCATGTGACTGGCCCAGCACCACAATCAGGCTAGGTGGTGCTTTCCCTCAGAGTTCATGGAACCCCTCTGGGCCCATCCAGCATTTCCAGCCAGGCAATGGAGCCACCAAGTGGCTCCTCTATCCATTCATCTCTCAAGGAGTTTGCAACAGACAACCAATGTAACTCAAAAAGGCCATTCTGATCATGGTTCTATTGTGAAGACCACCTCGGGATCCAAGAGGAGTAAGGGCTATAATAAGCTTTGCTAATCAAGAATCCTTATTTGGCACCAAAAGATTACATTTTGGCCTTTACAAGCAGACTAATATAAATAGCAATTATGTAATTTACCAAATGTTCTTTATAATTATAGGAACAACAACACTGCTCCATGTCATTATTAGGAGAATAAAGCAGGTTATGTTTATTCCACAAAGCCTACTAAGTGGTTTGGAGGAATCATAATGTGAATAATGCTCTGGAAAAGTACAAGTCCTTGTGCCTTCCCCTGGGGCATCTCAGATACCCTCATGAACATTTGTGCACGTGTTTACAAGAGACAGCACAGAACGCTGACCTCTTTGAGGCCCCATTTCAAAGATAGGCAGACGGGGCAAGGCTGGGCTGCAATGAATACCTCTCCAGATCCTGGAGCTTTCCCAGCTCTTCTCCAGGACCAGGAGCTGCTTCCCAGACAGCAGAAGGACTAACCTTCCTGCTTAATAATGAATGGCACAGCTTGTGTACCTTTTGTTTTTTTTCCTTTTTCTTTCAGTATTGGGAGATTGAACTCAGGGCTTTGCACTGAGCTACATCCCTAGCCTGGCCTTGATCATCCTGCCTTAGTCTACCATGCTTGGCCACCTGCATTCTCTTAATTCTGAAGTACAGAGCTGCCCAGTGCACTGATGGTATTGTAGGAGCTTCAGTGGGATGCTGTTAGTATGGACTTTCCTGAGCTTTGGATCTCAAGGCTGAAGGAGTATAATGCTGGAATATGATGCTTGGACTAATGCTGAATGTTCATAGCTCAAAATACATTCAAGATTCATTTGACTGGGCTAGGCTTGTAGCTCAGTAGCATGTGCTTAGCATGCGTGAGACCCTGGGTTGAATCACTAGCATTGTATTTTGAAAAATTCATTTGACTTATAGTTGAAAAACTCAGGGCCGGGGATTTAGCTCAGTGGTTTTGCCGCCTGCTGCGCAAGCACAAGGACCCAAGTTCAATCCCCGGTACCAAAAAAAAAAAAAAGAAAGAAAAAAGAAAAACTGAAAGCTGATTTTTGCCCCTGATGAGTAATGTCACCCATGTATACTGCTCTGAGGTGCTCTGGGGCTCAAGGGGAATGAGGATAGATCTTCACATCACATTCTCCAGGCCTCTCCAAAGTAGGGGCTAATGACCCTCATAGGAAGGCTCCACCCAGCAGCCATTTCCATGAAAACCCTGAACTGATCCCTCTATTATATTACTCCATAGTCAGTGTGAAAACCAGGGGGGAAACATCCCTGCCACTTAATCACCAGTCAACCAGCTGTCTTACTCCTGCATTCCCCTTGTTATTAAAAAGAAATGCCCTGGAGCTTTAAGAAAGCATGATGACAAGCTGAATAATTCAAAGGTAGCAGCAGAAGGGTGGTAGCAGCCGCTTGGCTCACCCATTTTGCAGTCGGTTTTTCTAGAAAATGCCAGCTGGAAGCTTACCCGCTGGGGAGTGTGGATGGGAGACAGAGCGTCCAAGTCTGCCATGGGAAACTCAACCCCCTTCCTCTTCAGCTCCTCGTATATGTGGACCACACCAGTGAGGTCAGGACTGCTCCGAAAGGCATCTGCCCATGCCTGGGAGAAGAGAGGAAGGCCCGTGAAGAAGCAGCTCTTACCTAGGCTGCTCTGAGGCTGGCAAGGCACCCCAGGTCCTTTCTGAAGCCAATGCTCTCCTGTACTCCAGCGTGAAACACACTGGAAAAACCTACTCTGTTCCTCTCCTGCAATCACACGGCTGGTGAAATCCTGGTTTCAGTGGTGCTGCTGAGCATGAACAAAAACACAAAACTTAATTCAGATTTTATTTCCTTGGAGAAGAGGCTGAGAAATAACACCTAAGCACCATGGTGCATCCTAAGATGCAGGGATTTTCCTAATCACAAGGAAATCAATTGCTGGGACTGTTAGCAGAAAGGAGTGGAAGGCTCGGCTCAATTGCTCCCAGTAGGAGACATACCCTTATCGGAGGAGACAGGAACCACAGGCAAACTGAGCAGAAAGGAAAAGAGAAATTGATGTTTTGAAATTGATGAGAAATCAAAGCTAACTCTAGGTTTTCTCAATAGAGCAGGGACTGCTGAAGCTGAGCTTGCCTAGACCAGTCAGTTGCTGGCAGTGGGATAGCTTCAGCTCAGGGGTGCAGGAGTCCCTCAGGAGCCAGGACATGAACAGTGGCAGGGGCTTACTCCTAGGAGTGCTGCCCCAGCCCCATGTTTCTTCTATTACAACGTGCTGCCCATGATGCCAACATGTTTGCCCAAATAGAAACATCTATGGAAAGCACAACTACTAGTCTCCCTTAAATGAAAACTACACAGAGATGAAAGAGCAGAAATGTAAACAGATTACCATTTTTATTGATTTATGGAACTCTTAGTAATTAAAAAAAAATCCTGGAGGCTGGGGAGTAGCTCAGTGGTAGAGCACTTTTGGAAGCATTTGGAAGGCACTGGGTTCCACCTCCAGCACAGCAAAAATAAAAACAAAAAAACCAATTATAAGAAGGAAAGATTCAAAACCAGAAGTTATCCAAAGGGCTCCTCAGAAACAGGGTCCCCTCCAGTGTTGTCCCCTTCACCATACATACATACCCAGGGGAGGGGGCAACACCTCTTGTGCCCCTGGTGCCATTGCTAAGTCCGTCAGCTTTCTGCCTCCAGCAATATTCTAATCAACCGTGAGGTAGCCACAAAAACTCTAACCAACAGACCCTTTCAAAGTTAAAAGGTCAGTTTCCAAAAAGCCTCCTCAATTTTTTTTGGCGGGGGGTGGGGGGGTGGGGAGGTGGTACCAGGGATCAAACTCTGGACTTTGTGCTTATGAGGCAGGCACAGTGCCACTGTGCTAAATCCCTGGTTCAAGCCTTCTTAATTATAACAGATGCATGGCACTTACTACAAAGAGTATAATACTGAAGCTGAGTATGCCCGGCACAGGTTATCACTGGCAAGTGGGATAATTTCAGCTTAGCCTGACTTTCCTTGATACATTTACTCAATTTGCATACTCAGGGACTTAAGGTCACCATGGCATCAGAACAGCCTGTCTTGGCCAACACTTCCTTCTGGACTCTGAGGAGGGCAGAAGGTGACTGCAGAGCTTGTTCAGAAGGACTAGCTGGAGAATCTTGCTGCCTCAGCCTGCCCTACTCACCCTCAGCTCCATAGAGCCTATTCCAAGCAAGCTGCTCCACTGCCTCCTGCCCGATTCAAAATCCAGCTGAGTACTGTGACTCCACCTTCAAAATGTTCCAATGTTTTGTTTAGCTTCTAAACTTGAGAATCTACAGGCTAGGGTGCAGCTCAGTGGTGGAGCACTTGCCCAGCATGCACAGGTCCTGGATTCCATCCTCAGCATCACACAAAGCAACTAATCAACCAAATACTTAAAAAATAAACTTTCAAGTCTAAAGCTCATATTCACAGTCTATTGGGGGAGGCAAGTCTACCTGGAACTGCTCCATGCTGCTGTGCCACAGGAGTACAAGCATCTCCAGGGATTCCTTTCAATCCCTCTTGCTCCTAGTCAAGCCAAATTGGAGGTTGTAAGAAGAAAAGTTAAAGAACCAGCTGTCCTTTCCAGTCAGTGGACACTTCTTGGGGCCCCCTCTTCCATGGTGCAGCTACATCAGGGAACTAGAAGGGAACCACATATCCCAGGTTAGGCCTCCTGCCAGGAGCTCAGCCCAAGGTCTCAAAGAGAGTTGGGTCCTTTTTTTGGGTAAGGAAACTATGATCTCTAAATGTGAGCCCTGAGACAGCCATATGCCAGCTCAGGGCCAGGGGACAAAGATAGTGTTCTGGAAAAGGAGCAGATAGTGTACTGAGAGGTACAGGCATGCAAAGAGAGGATTTGGAGGGCATTTTTTTGGTCCCTTCTGTCCATTTCTAGTTCTAATCACAGCCCTGGCCTGGGTAATAAGGGATTCTGGGAGGCCCTACCTTGTCAGGACAACTCTCCTCTTTGCCTAGGCAGGCAGAGTTGGCACCTGTTATTTGCAGCTAAGCAGTCTTGGCTAGTGCACTCTGTCCCCACCTGCCACAATCCCAGACCTTGTCTGGACCCCCTGTGCAGCCTGGGTGAGATGGCTGCTAACAGAGCATATGTTCATGACAGCAATCTCCACTGAACAAGATTCTAATGCCAACAGAGAAACAAATGGGGGCAGAAGGGCTTTAAAGGAACAGTCACATGAGAAAATGCAGAGATGGGAGAAATCCAGAGATGCCATGTGTCCCCAGCATCTTTTTGAAAGTGCCTAGATAACTGTGTTCCTCCCTCTCCTTACCAGGTCAGCCACCTTTTGAAGGCACACAGAGTCTTTTGTCCTTGCACAGAGAAGGCAGCCAGTCAACATTGGTCAGGTTAAATTGAACTCAATTCTTATGGTTATAAACATCTTCATTTTCTTACTTCAGAAAACAGAAGAAAGATGGTCACTCAGGCTGTCAACAGACTGAAGTTGACAGTGATAAAGCAGGGGTCCTTCTGGAAGGCTAAGCCAATGGAGCACCCTCCCTGGGGAGCCATGTCAAGCCTCAGGGGGTGTGGTCTGCCCTATGTCCCTAACCTGAAGCCCCAGAGTGGCAGAGAGGGTGGGAGCCAGCTGCCTCTTGATGGTGGCCTTATCAGAAAGCCAAGAATCATCCCAGTGGTAGCACATTCTCTCAGGGTTCCCTGTCACAAGAGCTGGCCAGTTTTTGACTGAGTAGCCACCTCACCGAAAGCCTCTTTATAAGATATCCTCTTTTTCTGCCTGTAACCACAGCATTGGGAGGCTGAAAGACCCAGAGGCAGGCCTAACCAGGGGAACAAAAGAGAGAGAAAGGGAGACCAGTTTGTGCTATTTCCTTCATTCCTTCAGATTGCACACCAGATTTCAGACAACACTGTGATCACACCAGATTCACTGCTGCATCCCTCAGGGTTTTGACAAGGTCTTGAGTCATCAATTTGCAGACCAACAGACAACTGCTGATTTAAACTATGGGTTCTGAGATGTCTGTGAACAAAAGGGGGCTCTGTCTTCTCCTGCTTATGTACCCAAGCCTGGACTTCCTGTTCTCAGTGAAAAGGTCCCCAGGGCATTGCCTGTTCACTCAGAAGGTGGCCAGGGCCCTTCACTGATGGGAATCCTGTGGTCATGCTTCCTGCTGGACTTTTGAGGCAGCCTCCAGGTCTCTGACACCTCTGAAGAATACAACTCCTAGCCCTCTTGGCCTTCTTGCCCCTATTCCCATCCTACCCCAAATGGCTCACTTTCTTCAGTGGAAAGAAGAGCCTTCAGTGGAAGGAGACTATTCTTAGACTCTTTGCTGGGTGCGGGGAGGGGGTGGGGAAGCATGACCAGGCCAAGGGTATTCTAGCATGACCCAATTTCTGTTCCTCAAAACAAGCTCAGGGAAAAGCTGAAGGATGGCATTAGAGGGGGAGCAGCCTTCTTGTCTTCTCTACAAGTAGTACTTACACAAGGGCTGGGGATACAGTCAAGGGTGGAGTGCTTGCCTAGTGAGCATGGAGAGAAGGGTATCATAAGACCAGGAAAGGGAAAACTTAAGGGTGAAGGTGAAATGCAGTGGGCAGAGAAGGCTGTAATGCTTGGGGTGGGAATTAAAACAGGTGAGCTGTTAACTAAACCTGTCTTCTCTCAGCTTGTCTTTCCACCCATCTCTCACACTTGAATCAGAACAGTCCCAGAACCATGCTGCCATGCAGGTTCTGCACACTGGGCTCTGGCTCAGAGAACAGGTAGGATGGTTTTCTGGTGTTCTGAGGAGGCAAGGCTATGCGATTACATAGGCCTGATGGGTTGTCTCTTGGGGAAGTTGGGGAGGATGGGATGGCTAAGGGGCAGTGAGAAGTACAAAGCCTCAAGGAGAGGAGAGATGGAGGGTGGAGGGAGGAGGGGGAGGGACCAGCTGGATTCTGTTTACAGTTGGCTTAGAGGGCTGCTGGTCAAAAGTATGCCATTGGAAATGCTAGAACATGGCCAATTGTACACTGACAAACACTGGGACCAGTACTCCAGGAAGGGAACCAGGGATGATGGGCTTGGGGCAAGCAGACCCATGAGGACAAGATCCATCACTCATTTCCCTACATGCACAGGAAACAGTAGAAAAGATGCTTTGAGGAAAGGGGTGCTGATTAATGGTATAGTACTTCCCTAGTATGTTCAAGGCCCTGGGTTCTATACCCAGCACCACAAAAATTACAAACAGAAAAATGAAAAGCCACTTTGGAGCTGGTCCTGCTTCCAGCCCCTGAACTTGGCTACAGCCCTCCCTTCACCCTTGGTCACCTGAAAGGGTAGGTGTGGGGCTCAGGCCTGATGCTAGGAACCAGATCCATGAAACCACCTCTGCCAGGGGCCCCAGTTGGACTTCATGAGTGGTGGTGGAGTGTCTGTGTAGCCCCATCACTGTAACAACTTTTCAAGTGTTTGATTTATCTACTTATCTAGAAAGGAAAGTTGAGGGCTACACCCACCCCCAACATTCAAAAGCTGGCTCAAGTTCTTGGCTGTGCCCAGGCCCTCTATCATCTGCAAGATTTAGTTTGCCCTGTTAAACTGC